AAGTATGGGAAGAATTTTCCACGGTCAAAGGTCGGAGAAAGATCCATGCAGTGAATCGTCCCGGGCCAGATTATTTTACTCCGGCCGTATTTTGCCGACCACTGGGATAAGCAAACTACCTACATTACTGCGAAGACGAGTTCAGCAATCCTTTCGCGTGTGATAATCGCCCACATGATTCAAGCCTGCGAATGCACACAGAGTACAGAATTAAGTGCGCCGAACATAAATCAGGTTTCGCGAAATCGCCCCCCTATCGCCCGCTTGGACTTTTTCGCCCCCCTCTGTATCGTTTTCGCCCACTGGGGGGCGATATCGCCCACTTTGGGAATTACTGCTCTAGAGCCCTAATCTACTAAAAATGATATATTTAACCTCAGGTCAAAGGCCATTTCACGCAATCCGGATGTCAAAATAACTGAGGCGGAAGAATCAAACACCCGGGGAATCGTGCTCAATGCAATATATGGAGAAAATTTTGACAGGATGGGAAACGATTCGCAGCAGACTAGCTCGAGTCCTGTGTATAGCACGGTTCATAAATAACTAGCTAACAGCTTCTACTGGACGAGATGACGTGGTTCGCCATATGAATGAACCATTTTATCGGCTTTCCTCTTCTAGAGATTATTATTAAATGCCTACCCGTCGTATCCTAGTCAAAAACTATCCAAACCGTTGCTGCTTTGTGTTTATTGTAGTACGATGCGCATATGCTTAATTTGCCCAAACCACATTCGCCGACAACAGTTGCGGGCTGCAAACCTTGGTGTCGTTGATTAGTAACCAACTTTGGCTGCCTGCGAATTTCTTTTCCTGGTGCAATTATCGCTCCGAACAAGGTCAGGCATAAACAAACACCGGGGATAGTTCACTAAACGCCGTTAAGTACTTCTAGTAGGCGTGGCATAACCATTTTCGCATATGTCATTTCTAACTCCACCTGACTACGTCATTCAAAAATTACGTCAAATTACATTACACACTACAACGTCACAGTGACAAAATAATAAAGTATGCAAAAATGTCATCCTGTACCACGCCAACTAGAAGTACTTTCGGCGTTTAGTCAACATGCCCCCCCTTCAGCGTTCCCTCTAAGCTGCGCGACCGCGCAGCCGTCTGTGTATCCCCGCGCAGTGCTTTCGGTCTGCCGCGTACTGCATAAGTGTCGACAATTCTGTGTTCGTTTAAATTGTTGTGTTTCTTTTTAATTTTCCGCGTAGACCTTTTTTTTTTGAGCTCACATGGCCTTCTATTCCGCGCAACTAAGCAAGCTCTTAGGGGGAACGTTGGACCCCCCATACATCCACTAATATATATCGATATCTTAAGCCGTCGGCCTTCCTCTGAAAAAAATATGAAATTCCTGTCTACTCTATGTTTATTGGAGTATTACAATGCACATAACCATACTGCCCTGTTTTTTATTTATATTTCTGTGTGATGAACTGGTAAGCGCCTTTATATGTAGATATATCATAATTTGACATAAGTGTGAACTATGCAATATTGTTGGACACGACGTGGACCAATGGATTGTTTTATTATGTATTTTTGTTGTCATTATGTTAGTATTTCCTTCTCCTTGTTGTAAAAAAATCCCTTTTTTTCATTAATTTCTGGACCAATTGCTTTGAAATCTCCAATGGTTTAAGATGCATGGAGTCTATCTTACATTAACGACAGTCTCAGGATTTCCCAAAAATCCTCTGGATACTTGAACGTTTCCAATATACGAATTTATTAGTGTGAATATTTTGTTTCTACATCCATATTCAATTTTAGGCTTTCTATTTTTATGTTGTGGTTAGACCCCATCCAGGGTGTCGCTGTTCAATAACCAGTACTGGTTTTTCTGACGTCTTCCTCCACCCTGAAATGCTATTCAATCTTTTTTTATTCCAATCCGTAAATGTACCTTACGTATTTTCAGCATTGGCGAAATTACTGCATGAAAATATGTGAAACAAACTCAGGTTCTCCATTACATAATACACACATTTCATTCCCTGCTATTCTTCCAATTTCTGGCTTTTGTTTTCAATGGCAAGATATCCCAGAGTAATTTATAGTTAAAATCAGTATTTTAATAAGTAAACGAATAGCTCGCAGAGCCATGTGATTCATATGGAGCACAGAGCTATGATTGAGAGAGGCCGTGGTTCGCCATATATTTAGACCTTCTTTTCGGCTTTCTTCTCCCCTTGGATAAATATGTAAATCCCATGTCATATCAATTAATAAATACATAAATAACCGCACACCTCTCGGCGACTGGTTCATATTCTGTTCTGTAGATACGTTTTCTGTCTAATAGATATGCATTCCCAATAAGCATATGCTCATAGTTGTATGCTTTCAGCGTACCATACTTCGAAACCCAAAACCAAATATGTATTGAAGAATTAAAGACCTCAATACGGCCAACTTCGCACCCGACTCGGCTGAAGCAAGGGATTTTGGCAGCGAGCAATGCGTTTTCTTAATATGCAACGAACCATTTAGCTGGACGACGTAAAAAATGCAGGGAACATTGCCACAATGAGCAAATCTTTGCAAGTTTCCACTCATTGTATATATGCTCATTGGCCTTAGTTACGGCAGCAAACTTTTATCCGCCACTGGTTTTCAATTTGCTGGTTTATGGAAAACATAAAAAGTCGCTTTTCTCTTTGATTACTGGATCGTTTGCTCTGAAATTTTCAGTGGTTAAAGATAAAAATGTTTTCCAGAAGGCTATTACTTTTATTCATTTCAAATATTTCTGTTAGCTCTGTGAGATTTGTTTTTGTTTGCTATGACGTCACCGAACGTTCTGCGGACGCATATGCTGGCACTCCTCTTCATGTTCTTTTGATCACGTGCCATCGAACGTCGGTGGTTTGTAACGAAATCCTGGCTTTGCTAAGATTTGAGGAATGGTGTATAAGTATAAGTTTATTTCGACTCCGTAATCAGCAATAGACGATAAAAAAAATAATAGATAAAAATAAAAGTAACTGATTATAGAATCGGGAAAGCGAACAAAACCTCGAGTAAGGTTTGAAACAGATTTTAGATGGAACGGTATTGATAAAAGAAGTAGTACGTGTTCGCTCACCCAAAAGTAAAAAAAACTAAGGCACGCACGCACACACACACACACACACAATCATCGAGACATGATAATGTCGAAAGTAAAAAAGCGAGACTTAAAATCAATTGAATTACTCAGTAAAATGGAAATTATACAAACAAATGAGAAAAAATGAGTAAATTCTTTTGCCACACCAAATTAATAATTTTACGAGGATTGCCAAATTGGATACCGAATTAGTCAACTAGAGTAATATACTGTGGATAGAAAAGTATTCCCCAAAGGATATCGTCAAGCTGAATATAATTGGAGTCACCTAATGCCAAATTGCCCAATCAGAATTGCCAAGTTGAATGTATGAAGAGGTGGGCTAGACTGTTATTATTTGTCTCCGTCAACACGTTTTGAAGAAATCGCTTTTCTCTTCGAATACGGGATCAATTGCTTTGAAATTTTCAGTGGTTAAAGATAAAAAATTTCTCCAGAAGGCAATTACTTTTTTTCGCTATGACGTCATCAAAATTATGTAACGCTACGTGTCCAAATATTTGAGCATAGCTCTCTTGTTTTAAATACTATTGTGCCTTACTTGGTGTTATATTACAGTAGTGATTCGGATCGTTGGTGTTACTACAGTTGTGAGTCGGACCATCTTGCAATTTCAATTCACGCTGTCACAAGACAGGAACTTCTAAAGATAGGGCAGTTTCGGTACCGTAACACAGCGCGGTGACACTGAACTAACTTGTGACTGTGTCGTGAAAGCGGGACTAACTAAATCTTTAAATGTTGGTGCTTTTCTTGGAATCGTTGAACGTGTCCATATATTCGAGCATAGCTCTCTTGTTATTACATGACTTTTTCCACAAAGCTCGCACATTGATTGAGCCTGTTCAACCGGAGCTGGATTTTGAGCCACGAAGCTGTGACATTTTGGTGCGGACGAAGCCAAGCTTACCATGTTAGGAGACGGAGCTACCAGAAATTTTAGTGCTGCTGCTTCTAACCATTTTATTATTTATTAACATTTTTTAGTACTCCCTACAAATAATCCTTTCACGTCCGTGGATTTTTCTAAATTTCAATTCATAATATTAATTTAAAAGTTTCATTCATCAGAAGTTTGAATTTATACATTTGAAATTTTAATTTTGAAACCTTTTTACCATAGTTTTGAGTCCTACTTCCACAACTGCATTTTGGAAGATATTTCATGGCAGTGGCCACACTTGAAAACCTTGACGGGTATCGAGCAGGGGTGGGCACGGTTTTTGGATGGGGGCAAAAAATTTTGCCCATCTAGACTGGCGGGCCATGTAAGTATGATGTGAAGAGTTACATTTTATGAACAATGTTTACAGTTTTACAAAGCAACAGTGGAAAACAATAAACCTCGTGCCGAAACTAAATTTAACCGCAATCCCATCAAATTCCGTGGGCTATTTTTGTCCTAAAACATCAAAATTTGGTTTCAGTCTGGTTGTGGCAGCATCAGGCGGGCCAGATTGAATTACATAGTGGACCAGAATTCAGTCCAGCTCTGACCTAAAAATATGAAGCCCAGGTCCCTCAGCCCTTGAACCACGTTCTCTCGTCTGATTGCCAGTCCATAGAGCATGCACCACTAAACAATTTTTCGAAGAGCATGTAGCTAATCAAAAATATTTGTTAGACTTGATCTTGCGCACCTTATTTTTGGATAGTTACGTCCCATTCACATAATCTCAACATTTTTTTTGAAATGAAAACATACTTTCGCTTCACTATCTGTTATTTGTAGCTTATTGTTAGCTAGTTATTTTTAAGATTGGCAAATTCTAAAAAAGGGGTGCAGCTTAAAAAGATTGAGAACCACTGCCATATAGGAAATGCCATGCTTGCTTATCTACTTTCCTCTATTCATGTGAATAATTCACCCGAATCATCGTTCAAAATTTTTATTGCATGACAATTTTCCACAAAAATGAAAATTAATTCATTCTTCTGACAAGGGCGTTAATTTTGTCTTCACGATTTCCGTAATCTCCCCCCTCAACGACATGATTGGTCACTTTACGGAATCCACCCTTCGGACATGAAAGTTTGAACGGCCAAAGGAAGTTGCTCGCTTTCTTGAAATTCTCACCGACAGTGAAAATCTCGTGAATAAGATCTTCCATACAGATGATGCCTTCCTTTCCGAGAACTCCCTCAATGATTGAGTTGTCGGTTAACGGAATTCGAGACTTGCTGACCTGAAATAAAACAATGTTTTTTTAAACATGAGTAAGAAGTACAAAACAGCAATTCTTTTTGGTACTCCCGAAGTATGTGAACCGAGATGGCAGACACCGGAACATATCAGGTTAGAATTAGGCCATAATTTCAGGTACAAATACTACGCGAGTCACTTGGCTAGTCCTCGAACTCGTAATAAAACTAAAATGAGAAAAAATGGTATAAAATTATGTCGTAACCCTAACCTGGTACACGTACTACGTTCCGGTGTCTGCCATTTTGGTTCACATGCTACGGGAGCGCTATTTTTTTTATAATTGACATGGATATTTGGGCGGCAAAGTGGCCCCTCTGTTAAAAAATTGTGTTGGCATCGCGGACTACATATGTCTGGTTTAAATCCCAGATCCTTTTCTTTATGTAGGCATTACCAAACGGGAAAGATTTTGGTCTTTTCCAAATCCCACTAATAGGCAGCTCTTTACATACGCTAGTTACTGGTTGTTTGGAACAAGAAATGTGAATGAGCGTCCGATATAAAAAAATATTCTCAACATGTCGTGAATGAGGAACAAATAATAGTAACAGTAACCCAAAAAGATGAAACGTTTGAGTTAGCTGTAACCCACCTCATGGTCCACTCTGTATATGCAAATGTCCGAAACAGTTCAAGTATTTGATTTAGTAAATATTCGATTATTCAAGTTTTAAAATTTGTGATTAGGAGCTATTGACAATCGGATAAAAATGACTCCTCAACTTTGTTTTGGGTCAATGCGCAGCTAGACTCTTGAATTACATAGAATAAGGTACTCATGAAGTATGTGAACCAAGATGGCAGACACCGGAATGTAGTATGTGTACCAGATTAGGGTTAGGCCATAATTTCAGGTATAAATACTACAGGAGTCATTTGGCTAGTCCCCGAACTCGTTATAGAACTAAAACAAGGAAAATTGGAATAAAATTATGTACTAAACCTAACCTGGTACACATACTACGTTCCGTGTCCATCATCTTGGTTCACATACTACCAGAGCATCTAGAATATTAGTGTGGGCAAAGTGACCTGGCGGTTAATAAAGCTGTAGTCATTGACATTGCAAATTTCGGAATTCACCTGACCTACTCTTGTAACAAATTTAGTGCCAAACGGAAAAGATGACAACCCTTCCAAATTATAGTATATCTTTAGAGCGAAAAATGGGTACTCCTGTGGCGTGGCGTACTCCTAAGGTGTGGTAGTCATGGCTCGTAACATGGGCGCCGTTTGTACATGTCAAAAAACAGCGAAAACTTTCATTGGTAAAATGTTCCAATAAAATAATTTCAATTTTATTCCTGAAATTATGGCCTAACCCTAACCTGGTACACGTACTACGATCTGGTGTCCGCCATCTCGGTTCACATACCAGGTTAAGGGTAGTCCATAATGTTATTTCAATTTTCCTTATTTTAGTTCTATTACAAGTTCGGGGACTGTCTGTGTTAGCCAAGTGAATATACCCCCTGCCCATAGGTTTCAATCCCTTTACACAACTTGATGTAAAGTAGGCAAACAAAAATAGTTATCATCATATTGGTACACGTACTTCTGGAGCGCCAAAAAATGTGTAACATCTCGTAACCCACCTAGCAGTACTGCGTGTGCAGAGCAAAAGACATTAATGTGCTTTGTATAAAACTCAAGTGCATATGTTCTTAACCAAGGGTGCCCCACCCAACTAAGTGATGCAAAAACTGTTCACAGAGTGCAAATAAATTAGTATCTAAATAAGCACCTTTCCATATCCCCTCTTGTACAGGAGTTCTCTAACGGTCTTCAAGTTAGGATATCCCCATGTGATGTACGGGTCGGCCAATCTGAGCATGGTGAGACTTGCTTTGTTCAAACGAACGAATACTCCATTGTTGATCTGACGGAGTCTGAGAAGCTGGAGAACCTGTGAGGAAAGGGTAAAAGTTGTTAACCAGGCAAACTAAACAATTTACTATTCCAAACAATATTTCCCACAGCGGATAGTTATGTGCAAAAGAATCACTGAGACTTGCTGTCAAAGGGTGGTTCATGATGAGCATGATTAAGCCATCTTCTCGATTTTCCTGCACCCATTGATGAAGATCCTGTTATATTTACGGATTTCAGATATATTTCAAGTGATATACAAACGTTAAGGGCTAAGGCCCATGGAGTGCGGAGATAAGTTGACCAATGTGTGATGAGAAAGAATGAGACACTCCATTACAATATATTAACATATCATTACAACATTACTTGGTTTGACCATTAATGAATCATAGATTTTGTATTGATTGCACCCATGTGCATGTGAAAAATGAAGGCTTTGTGTTTGTGTTGAAACATTTCTTTAATTGTTATAACAAAATAATAGAAGGAGAAGTACTTCAGTTAATAATGAAATATACAATCGCAACGATCGAGCCTTGTATCTAACATAGGGGAGGCATGGTTTCTAGACCAGCGGCAAAAAATTTTGCTCATCTAAACTGCCAGGCCATGTAAGTGTGACGTACCAAGTTACATTTTATAAACAGAATGTTATTTACAAAAGTGAAACAAGCAAACGGGGCGAAAGAAGTGAGGACGCTCGCTGTTGAATCAAGTGAGCGAGAAAACGTAAAGTTTTGTTAACATCGGGACATTCTTAGAATTTGGAAACTGCAGTAGGGCACACTATCAAAATTCCAAGAACGTTCCATCACTTAGGTCAATAAAACAAACACTTCATGTGTCTCACAATGGAGGGGCGCCTGGCTCGACTGCAGACGCGTCATAGACTCATATCGCACCAAGCTTGTCTCAAAAATAATTCAAATTAATCGCCGTCGTCACATGACCAAAATTGGCGTTTTTTTGCGAAAAAACTCTCGAATCCAACGCTAGAAATCTTTTTACATCAGTAAATCATATTATTTTTTCCAGAGGAATTGCATGATGACGTTTTTAGCTTGTGCTTCTTTGTAGTTCTATGCACAACTTCATTTTACTGTATTTTTACCGATATTGAGGGATAACAATATCCATGCGTCCCCCAAATGAGGGGTGTTTGTTTATCGCCAAAATGGGATTCTCTGAAACGAGACAATGTGTATCAATCTGAACAATGTGTCGTACTGCAAGAAAATGACAAGTACACAGTTTTAATGGGGAAGGGGAGCCACGGGAACCAAATAAGGTTATTGAGCAAGACAGCAAAGGTTCAAATACGTCTATCTAATTCTGGAATGGAAAATTGGGATGAAATTAACCAAGAATAAAATCAATAAAAAAGTAGTTCCATCAATAAAACATAATACAAACCTTGCGAACTTTAGGTGCAACTTGGTTGATACCTCTGATACGAATTACGAAAGCCAGTTTAGGCTGCTCAGGCACGTAAAAGTTGCCATGCGTACGAGCTTGACGCGACAGACGGATCCCTTCACGTTCCTTGAATCTGTATTCCTTTACATACTGTTCAGCCCGCTTGAACATGAGCTTTCTCTTTTCCCTGCCCTTTTTTCTGTTTAATATCGCATTTTGGGCAGCTTTGGCCTTCTGCGCTTGATACGCTTTGCGTTTTTTTAACAAAGATTCGGGAACTTTTGGCAAAGCTTTCCCACTCGTCATGTTGCTCGTTGGCGAAAAGAAATTTAGTCTCAAAACAGCCGAACATGTGGAACGAAAAATGTGGCTCCGTATGTTTACGCATGAATGATTTTTAAAAAGGGATTTTTAAATTCACAAATTACCTGCGAATAGTAATGGATGTTTTCCGAGTATCGACTTACTTGTTTACTTCGTGACATTGGCCAATCAGCAAGATGCAAAAAACTGACGAAACAAGGCACCACTTTCGCATCCGCTTAGACACTTTTCTGACTCAGACAAATTTTCAAGCGTGGTCGTAAACATTACCTCGTTTTCGCGTTTTTGAATTCTATTCGTTAGTTTTCAGTTGTGTTTCGGAATTATAAATCAGATAATTCAATGATCACTTTGTCTTCCAAGGAATTTCAATTTAATCGCAGTAATCAAAAATTAGTGTAGACTAGGCTGAAATTCTTCACCGGTACTCTTGAAAAACAGATTGTTGAATGCGATGAATCAGAATGATGGTTTGAAACAAATACCCCATTTTAAAACTCGCGAAACCACTCTCAAAAAAAGGCCCGGAAATTTTGCAATGATAAAGTATAGGGGGTCAAAGGTCGGGGAAAGGTCCATACTTACTACATTAATCAGTGGTTTATTTTTATCATACTATAACGCATACAGAATATAGAAAACCACATTCCGGGGTAAATGAGGACGCAATAAACCAGTAGTGGGTAAATGTGCTAGTTCGGATTATTTTATTACTTTAATGTAAGTATGGACTGGTATCCGTACAAAGGCCTTCGGGTGCCTTACGATAAGACCATTTTATCGACTTTTTTCTCATTCGTGATAAATGTCAAAATCACATCCTATCTTACCAGTCGTTGTATCTTACAGAAATTTTAGTCTGTCCCATGATAGAGCTGAAGAGCTAGGTTTAGATATGAGGAAATTATTATAAATATATCCGTGTAAAATGACAAGTATATATATTCATAGCAATTCAATACAAATGTTAAGTCAAAAATAATTTGCAATGTTCTTATTAATATTCAAAACAAGCCATGTCATTGGGTATAGGAAGAATTTTCCTGGGGTCGAAGGACAGGGAAATATCCAATATACCACTAGGTTTTTGGACCCGGGGTCATAAAATTTGTCACATAGACTGGAAGGTGGCCATGTAAGTGTGACGTAAAAGTTACATTTCATGAACAATATTTACAGTATTATAAAAGCTAAAGTGGAAAACAATAAACCGCGTGTCGAAACCTAATTATAATCACAATTTGAACAAATTCCCTGAGCTATTTGGTGCTCTCGAAGTATGTACACTAAGATGGCGCACAACATGAACATAGTATGTGTACTAGGTTAGTATTAAGGTTGTGCACCATCTTGGTCCACATACTTCGGTAGCTATTTTTAGCTGAAACATCAAAATTTGGTTTTAGTGTTATTGTGGCATCATCAGATGAGCCAGATTGAATTACCCAACGGGCCGGATTTGGCCCGCGGGCCGTAGTTTGCCCATGTCAGCATTATACGTTAGGCCAGGGGTGGGCAACTTCTCTAGTCGGCGGGCCAGATGTGGGAAAATGAAGTCTTCGGTGGGCCGGATTGTTACATAAATAGTATTCAATATCCTAATCACATATTTATTCGCTAATGCGAGAAAGAAAATTATAAATTGCGTTTAAAGTAAAGTTTAAACCTTACAAAAAATTGAGACCAAAAATACATAATGAATTTATCATAATGTACTAAAATTGTACTCCAATAGTTTCTAAAGTCAGTGTGACATTTGTGGTCGATTAGAGTTGTCAACAAGTTGCTTAAACTCAGGCTGCTTTATGTTAAATGCTCGAAACTCTCTGTTAACTTTACGTTTTTTGGAATATTCCATGGTTAATAAAACTTAATATAAAATCTAATTTCTAAAATCTATTTATATTTAGAATATAAATATAACTTGATAACAGTAGTGAGGAATGTTTACAACGCTCTCCGCTGTTTAACAAGTGTGTTAACGCAATTGTTTGTTAACTAAGGCAATTGTTTATTTCACCAGCTCACACTGACAGTGCGATGAGAGTAGTGCGATCGGCAACTTTCAGGAATGATGCGTCCGACCACATCACAGAGTGTGGTTGGATACAGTCAGCGGGCCAGTCAAAATCTCGTCGCGGGCTGGACCCGGCCTGCGGGCCGTATGTTGCCCACCTCGCGTTAGGCTATACTTACCAAAGCCCGTATAGTCCACGGCGCTCAGTTATCAATCAAACATTCTTCGTATTCCAAATTCCCCAGACAATTTTGACAATTATATTAGATTTTTTCCAATTTATCCAATAATCTATCTAGTTGAGGGATAATTATATTTTGTTATTGATTTTAAGCTATTACTGATTCAATTATTTCGTAATAATACTAACAATGCTACAGGGAATTGATTCTTCAGTCGCGTAACAATATAAAAATTGATAAAGAAATAATCAATATTTCTAACTAAGATTAATTCGTGATTGGGGAAGTCTTACGTCAATATTTCACAAATTTATTTCGCAACGTTCCACTTATACGAAAAAAATAAAAGCATTTTTTAAAGCTATTTGCTCAGAGAAAGGTCACGCACACTCACTCAGAAATATAAGGGATTGATCTCTGGTCACAAAGCCTTCACAAGGCCTTCAGGGTGCCAAGAGCTACCAAGATTGAAGAATTACAGAGTAAAAATGAAAATCAGTTAATTCGGATTGGCACAAAAATCAGTAATTTATTTTTCCATCATACTAAAATACACTTTATGAATGAACAATACCTAAAAGATGAATAATGATACTTCAGGTTGAGGGGAGGCGCGAGACACCATTACTGGGTATCGAGCAGCGCACCCGTGATTCAAGTCTAACAGTATTAATTAAACAAATTAAACGCCAAGTCTTGAAGCAGTTCGTGTCAATACGATTATAGAAACATCTATGAAGTAATGAATTTCTCATAAGTGTTCATTAATCCGTCAGTCAGTAGTTTATTTTTCTACATACCGTAAGTACAAATGGTACATACAAAATTAAGGGCTCTCCAGAGGTGTGTGTACCGATATGGAGGTAACTAATTTTGTTCGCCCACTTTACATCAAGTTGCGTGAATGAACTGAAGCCTATGGGCAGGGGTATATTCACTTGGCTAACACGGACAGTCCCCAAAATCGTAATAGAACTAAAATAAGGAAAATCGGAATGAAATTATGGCCTAACCCTAACCTAGTACACATATTACGGGAGTACCGAATTAGGAAAGATACCAAAAAATGCATTTCAATGAATGAGGGGAAACGCGATAAACCAGTAATGGTTATTAAGCAGCATGAGGTTGTCTAACATTGAGTCATACTGAGGAAATATGTTGAACATAGATACTTCAAAAAATACAAACTACAAGACATAAAATTTTCGTCTGTCATTTTCTGTATTCGTACAATTTGCAAAGCATCATCCTCTAGGAGGCGCTCTCTTCGCAGACTTCATCGACTATTCGACTAGATTGCCATGCTTTGTAAATCACAACACACTATATTATTGACGGCTTAAGCCAGTTAATCCCATCTTAGAATTCAATATCTGACTGCGCAAATTTTCGATCCGCGGTAATTTGGTCACACAGTGGAAGGTGTGATAAGGTGCATTGCATGTTAGTGGTATTTGAGGTGAAAATGGATCTAATAATCAGTAGTTTATTTTTCCATTTTAATAGAAATAAGATTTCTACCTACAGAATGAAAATGTATTTCTGCAGCCTAGAACAAAAGCTGAAGTTTTCTACAAGTGCTTTTACTTTAAGGTAGCATTAAAAATTTTGCAATGATCAAATATAGGAAGAATGTTTCTTGTGTAGGAATATCAGACTTTCAATTGCGATGATTGCGAAGTCATGATTGTTATAAAAACATAAAATAAAAGGGCACCAGGGTGTCTTAGCAATTTTCAATAGGCAGTTTAAGACGGCTTGCATAAGCAAAAGTTTTAGGTACTCGGGATTTTTTTTATACAAGGTGTGCTGCTTATGACGATTTGGTTGCAATTTTACGACCCGACGTTCATTCGAGTTTCTTGGTCGAAGTGGCAAGCTACATTACGAGATTGTACTTCAAGTAAAAGTGGCTCCAGTATCCAATAGTTTATTTCATCACCATACTGGAAATTTAATTTACAAATAGAATAAAGAAAACAAGATAAAATGGCATTTCAAAGCTAAGTGAAGCGCGAAACCAATACTGGTTGTCGGACAACATTATCCTAGACTAGAGGTAAAGGCAGTTTCAGTAATCAGTAGTCTATTTTTTCTGGAAACACACTTTGTATAAACGGCACTTTAGGGTGGATGCAACTGCCAAACTGCAGTGTTAGGAGCGTATCCAGAATATTTTCAACGGGTTAGAATTTTCGTTATACCGTAACAACTAGCGGGTCCCTAAAATGTGGGTTTTCTAAAGTCTTGAGTGTTTACGGTGAGAAACTAAAAGTTGAATTATTCGGATATTGGTTATCAGAACTATGCTAATATTGAAGAGGTCGTAGCTGAGTAAATGTGGTTTGTCCGTTATTAAGCACAATAGGCCAGTGATTATGACAATGTATTGTAGCTATTGTAATTCCGAAAATACCCGACATTAATGCTAGAATATGAAACGGTAGATATCTCGCTAGCTTACATTATATAATTATATTGTAAATTATCACTAAGATAGCAAAAAAAACATAATAATCATTCGTTGCTACTGCAATCAAATTTACCTAATTTATCAGTAACCCCTGCAATTTCTATTAGGATTGTGGCCACCTGCAAATGTTCTTGTGGCCCAGCACTGGGCCTTAGCCCACTGGTTGGGAACTGGTGTCCTAGTACTCAGCTTGATGTATACAGCTTCCACAGCGCTCCTGAAGTGTGTGTACCAACATGAAGGTAACTAACTTTGTTCACCTACTTTACAACAACAGGGACTGTACAGAAACTGAAACCACTTGGCTAACACAAAACAGTCCCCGAACTCGTAATAGAACTAAAATAGGGAAAATCGGAATAAAATTATGGTCTAATCCTAACCTGGTACACACACTACGGAAGTACTGATCCCACATACCTTTGGAATTTAAGATAAATTTCCCCACTTTTTTAATAGTATCAAAAATTCAGAAGCGACAAATATTTCATATAAGAGAGTGCGCGCCCCACCTCAGCTCGGAAATGTAATTGAATCGAATATCTGCCTCTCTCTCTCTCTTGGGATTTTATTAATTTGATTTCAAAGTCGCAGAAACAACGCGAAAAGGAACTGACGAATGGAAGCGAGGTCACGTCTTAATTTTAGATTGTCGTGTTTTTTAGATTTTGGAAGTTTTATTTGAAGTCTGTGTCGGTTAGTGTAGGGGAGCACTTTGAATCATTATCATTTTTTTTTTAAGTTTATCATCGGCGCAGGGGCCGTGCAGTTAAAACGCTAATGGGTCCTTACTTAGTGTTATGGGTCCTTATCTAGTTTTATTTTTTCGTAATTTAGCATTACATTATTGATAATAAAAAAAAATAAAGAATATCAGAAGTTGTACTAAAGAAAACTCAAAACTAAATTTATCTCCAAGAATGACAAAATTTTTTCCGAGACGGAATTACTCGCCGGTTGAAAAACGTTGGTTTACAATTAGATCAGTGATTTCCAAAGTTGATTGACCGGGGGCATATACCGGTACCGGTACGTATAATTAAAATAACGGTATACCCGAATTGTTACGGATATACACGTGCTTAAACTGTGATAATAACGTAACAATTGGCGGTATCTAAAACTCAAAAAAGAGAAAAAGTACAAAGTGTAATACTAATTCATATAGGTTCGGCGGGCCATATTAAATTGTTATGCGGGCCGTATTTGGCCCCGAGCCACGGCATGGGAACCTCTGGTTTAGATAGATGTACGACCGGCTATATCAGGCATTTATCACTGCTATGGTCGTTTATGGGCAGAAAACAAACAGACTTGTATTGATTAAATGTGCATATATAGATTATAAATTTTTTCTTGTCATAATTTACTGCTGATAAAATCACATTTTTTTCCAATGTCTTGTACTTCGTATTACAGAAGTAAAGGACCTCCAGAAGTATGCGCACCAAGATGGCGCGCAACCTGAACATAGTATGTGTGTACCGCTTAGGATTCAGGTTGTGCGACATCTTGGTGCTCATACTTCTATAGAGCACCGAAGTGAAAATGTCGCGAGTTCAAAAAGCTTCAGAACCTTTATAGACTTGAGCTACAGATTCGATTTCTGCTGGACTAACTCATTTTCAATGCTTTTGTGGCGGTTGATCCGTATGAATATATTGCAAGAATGCTGTAGCAAGAGTGAAGATAGGACAAATATATTTCTGTAACGTTTTGTTTGGCCAAGGTCAGACTTCTTCAGACATACATAGTTCAACTATAACGGGAAAAGCAGTTCAATATTGTTTGAGCAAGGCGCATAAACGGCGAAAAGTATTAGCGATAAAAAGTTTCAATAAACTCATTTCAACTTGGGAAAAACTAAAAATCGTATTTTTACTCAAATTATAACGTACAAATATCTCAATACAATAATATTCATTATAAATTGTCAAACAGTTATATAAAGAACGCATTTTTAGACTTTGCCATTGGCGCCATTTTACGTAGATACACCACTGTCTGTGATGTTTGTACCGCGTTTGTACCGCTTGTCTTGTTATAGTTGACCTGACTATCTATGTCTGAGAAAGTCGACCTTGGCCATACAAAACGTTACAAAAATATATTTGTGTTAATGTGCAACAAGACTTCTTATAGACCCGAAGCCTTGTTCGACAATATTGAAAGCAAAATTCATTTCGTAAACAACCCATTTTAAACAGTTTAAAAATTCTTTTTGCAGCCGTACCGTATCGTAGACATAAAACATAATGTTTCAGCTGAGGTGTAATGTCATCGTCTTCGGATTCTGGATGATTGTGACGTCATATTCACTCGTGAATGGAGAATTGTCAGTTAAAATAGGTGAGTGCAAACTTTGTAAAGTGCTTTGTAAGAAAAAAGTAAATTGTCTTCTTTGTTTGAAATATTTTCACAATTTTAAAAATATGTACAACGATGGCATATAGGAAGCATAAGATTTTCACTACGCGTATTACAAGGAAGCCCATAAGCAGGTCCCGATTACCAGTCAAGTCAGTTTTGAAAAGAGTTATTCAGTCACAGATTCGCAGACTTGGGTGGTGGATATAGGGCAGGGGTGGGCAACCTTTTTCGGCTCGCGTGCCAAAATCGGCTAACTTCAACAGCATAATTCTCCCGCGTGCCTACCACAATTAAAAACAACGCTTTTGCTACCTCCAAAGCAAAAATACACAAAAATAAGATTTTTAAACACGTACAGACAGATTCATTATTCGGGAAAATATCAGTTCGGAAAATAGATTTGATTATTTTCTTATTCTATATAAGTTAGACTTCTGCTGCTGTATTACCGTATTATTATAGAGGTTGGATTTTTATATTTTGTAACTTTCAAAGAAATACACGAACTGCTGGTTTCACCTTTGAGACTACTCCTGTTATAAGACTTAATTAATAAAGTTCATAACTGAGAACAGAGATTCACAAGCATATGTAAATGAAAACATGGAGAGTAATGCAGTAAAAATGTTGGGAATGGCGTCCCAATCACGCAATAGTTCATTTTCTGCACTTCTATCTTATATTCTCTTCCCTAATAGCTTATATATTTCTTTCGAAGTCAATTTATACAGTAAGTTAGCAAGTAACTCTAACCAACATGAGCGGTACAACTTCATTAATCAAGCAGAAATGAAGAAAAAGGGTGGCACAGACGAACTATATTACGTAATAATGTAGCCAAATGAATGCTGCGCTCATCTCGACAATATTTCTCGAGAGCTCACACATTTGTTACGTCATAATATATTTCTTTGTAGCTAAATGTCATAAAAGGACCAAAAGAGTTTAAATAAATACCGGATTGTTAACAAACGATATATAATGAATAAATTGGTATTTTTATTGACGCCATATTTTAAAAATGCAATTCTGATATTACCCTTTTTCCCAGCGATTTAATAATAAAACAGGTTTCATATTGTGTGTACACCCTCGACGAAATGTCTGGCTGATTAAATAATTCTATGTTTTTAGGAATTTATGTTTCTGGTGTACCCACAACAATAAAAAAAAGTTACATACAATTGACTATCTTCCAAGTAATCGAGAATCAAATCTGAAAAATATTAGATTCGATTTCGAAATTATCAGGTATTCGAAAATGCCTGATAGTGTGCTATTACTAGACACCAAGTGGACCATGCTATACATTTGGCTTATGAAACTTGCTGTTTCATCGAGTTCAATGTGTTTTATTTTCTACTGACCAACTCCCTAGTTCAGGGGTGGCCAACCCGAGGCTCGCGAGCCTCATGCGGCTCTTGCGTTGGTTTTATGCGGCTCTTTTCGCCTTGGTTATTTTAAAAAGAAAAAAAAACTTGTAAAGTACGATTGATCATGTTTCGATTAAACATTCACCGAGCATTCTACTTTCACGCATATAGGTATATTTGTGTTCATGTTTGTAATGCGGCTCATCGCGGTAATAAAGTACAAAATGTGGCTCTTGATCTCTGACTGGTTGGCCAACCTTGCCCTAGTTCAGGGGTGGGCAACATTTTCCGGCTTGCGTGCCAAAATCGACTAAATTTAATGACAAGTTCTTCCGCGTGCCGACCAAAATTGTCGAGAGCCTTTGGAGCCATATGTCATGAAAGAACAAAAATAGTTTAAATAAATAACGGATTGCTAACAAACAACAATGAATAAACGGACGCAGAGTTTCAACAGACAACATTTTATCTGAAAAAAAAAAATGATTTCGTTTCTGAAGCCTCGCTCGCGTGCCGAATAAATGGGCTCGCGTGCCAATTTCGGCACGCGTGCCAGGGGTTGCCCACCCCTGCCCTAGTTGCTTCGGTCACTGATACTTGCGATACCCGTCCTTAAAGTCACTGATACTGACCTATAGAGTGTTTTGGTATTAAGTTGTTGTTTTGTTATGGGTATTCTTTTTATTGTTGTTATGGAAAAATGTCTTTTCTCTTTAACTACTGGTACTTGGCCAATTCATTTGGAATTTTTAATGGGTAAATATTGTTGTTGTCGCAAGAAGGCTATTACGCAATTTCTACGGGCTCAATTGGACTCGCTTGTGGTTGTGTAAATGATGACGTCATCAAAATTCAAAATATTGCGCAACTTATGGCGGTTCCGCGTTCGCGCTCGTTGTGTCCTGGTGGTCGATCGAAGTCGCGATGACTACGGTACCGGTACTGTGAAAGATTACATACCTTTGCTACTTCGTTTTGGCTTTCGTGTGCATATAGTGCGCGCATTGAGCTCTCGTTTTTAGAAAGACCGGATTGTTAAAGTAACGCATTGACCGAAAATGCGAAAATACAAACGACGTGAAAGCTTGTCCATGTTGCATCGATTTTCCATTACTACCTCGCATTCATTATTATACGAAACAGAGTTCCACTTAATTTAAGGTTATCTCATGAGCTGAAAATAGAAATTTAATTTGTGTAATTTTGTTATTTGATGTATTTGAATCGCTCTTTGTAAAACTTCTTTGAATAACGAGACTTGACTGTTCGCTATCGCAGGGCGGTTCACGTAACCACTGGTCGGCGGCGGCTTCCTCCACCATTAAAGTCAATGAAACAATACTGCACATTTTTCTTATAACCACCTGATGAGAGCGCATGTTTGCACCAGGTATATTCATGTCGCAGATAAAAACACGAAAGCAAAACGATTTAATTTGCCGTCCTTCGAATTTCTATTCAGAAAAACTTCACCAGTGGTGAAGGGATATGGATATCAGGGCATGATATCTATATACATACGATAATGTTCTTTCCATATCAAGCCCTGAAGTTTTTCTGAATAGATATTAGTCACGTCGGCAAATTACATTGTTTTGTTAACCCCGGTCGTGTTTAATTTATCATCAACATATGACGAGAGGCCATGTTTACCCAAATGACTGTTCTGTCCGATCGGCTCCTCTCTTCCAAATATGATTTAGCCAAAGTATCGAATACGACAAGCTAGACTAAGATAACAGACAGATTCCAGCCCAATGCTCATCACTTTACCAGGGAAACTAGTTAGACCAGGGCTTTCCATACTTTTTGGGTTGCGAACCCCTATTTATGAATCTTAGTTTCGACGGACCCCCATACCATGCCGTATCAACTTGTGTGCCTAACCAACGAGGAAGAATATTGTTTCCTATACAACACTACAACACATTAATATGATGGATGAAATTACTTTTCACTGCACAATTTATCAATTTTCGAAGCAATTTACGACAAGTAAACTTGTACGTCCGACTCTACGCAAGTCTCGACCTGTATTTTTTCATCATATTGGTAAGAGCTGAAAATGCTACGTAACCGATACTCCAGGAGCATGTGCACCAAGATGACAGACACCGGAACGTAGTATGTGTCAGGTTAGGGTTAAGCCATATTTTTATTCTAATTTTAACCTTGAAATAGGAAACCAGAAAGATTTCGGTTCCGGGAATCGATGATCCTCGCGTATCAGTGAACGCTTGCTTAAGCACTTGTTCGGAGTGAAGCGTGTTTACTTCGCTCAGTGTCTGTCTTGGATACAAGCGTACCGTATCCCACGCAATTTGAGTTTGATTTAGGCAGCCGTCAGTTTTAATCAAAAATCGATAAAGCGGGCTGAAGGTTACGATGAAACCTAGACTTGTTTTTTAAACGAATTTATAGATTTGGTTTCTCAAAATAACTTTGTTGAATTTCTTTCAAAACACAGACAGTCCAAGTCCTCAAAAAGAGTTAGAATTAGTATATAGTTAAGCAAATTTAAAAAAAAAAAATATTTTACTAGGCCAAGATTATAATTAAGCGAATTTATAGAATCGATTTCAAAAAATCCTTTCATGACAAATCCTTCGAAATTTGAAAAAAAAAACTAACATCTCAGCAAAAGGGTTGAGGTGACTTTGAAATATTTTTCATTATTTTTTAGGCAGGCCAAGGATATTTTTTGAGCCAATTTATAAATTCGGAATCCCGAAATAATGTTAAAAAATCTTCAGAAATTTCTCAAAAAAGTATTACAGCTCCACAAATAGTTGAGGTAAATAAGTGAATCAAAGTATTTTTCCTCTACAAATTTTTACGCGTGCCATCGATTGGGGTTCGGCGTGACTGTACCTATATATTTTTTTTCGTGCTGGCAGACATTCTGTACTTTATATTTCACATTTTCAAACGCAAGTGCAACCTTAGATTTTCACAGATATATAGTTGAGTTGAGAATTCATTAGTATTATAAAATATCGACAAGAGTTACTAATACTAAAAATTAAACAAATATGACGACGTCACAATTGACGTGACGTCATTATACTTTTCTATGACGTCATTGGCGTGGGTTAACTAGGCCTCAAATAAAATGCAATTCTTCTCGCGTAAGAGCAAGATATTATCAGCAAGTGTAGGGAGTCCATAAAGCCACTTTACAATTTCAATTTTGTGAGAATGTCAGTTCTCAATATATCTTAACCAGGTTTGTTGTTTTTTAATCAGTAATTGTTTGAGTATTTTTACTTCATTTAATACATCTGTGAGGACCAAAACAATATATGATATCAATTAATTCCCTTTGCAATTTAAAAAATTTCTAAGACTTCATGGGCACCCTAGATATAAAGTAGATTCAAATCGTTATGACAGAAAGCACTGAATCGGAAAAAGATTGCGCTATATCAGCCATCGAGATTTTGACAGTGATTCAAATTTAAATTATTATCGAGTAGCTGTGATTAATTGCTTTTTTAACGGCGAACTTGGGCCGTAGATATTCCAAGCATGAACAAGAGTTTTTAATTGACCCAAGATCGAGTAAGGGGTATTTAGAAAGCGTTGTTTACGTTTAAATAATTGCGGTATCACTGATAATTCTAGCATAATTTCTAGTAATTGCTGTTAGTTGGCCAATTAGCAAACTTTATACGAAACTAACCAACAATAACAAAAATCTTGAGATTCTATTTGGGTTGAATTTTGAAACTTTAAAAAGATGGTTAGGGGTTCCAAATGTTTCTCTGCTGTATAGGAATTTAGTCTGATTTTCACTTATTAGTATTTTTGAAAGAAAGCAAAAGTTATTGTGTGGGTCATTCATAGATTTGTTTTCGTATATGAATTTTGATTCAAATCTCCCTGTCGACTTTGAAGTTTCAAACAAATTTAGGGCAAATTTGAAGTATTTTTTTATTTTCACATTTTATGTGGTCTATTGGATACGTTTTCACCCAGAACAATACCCACGGTATACACAGTGTACCCACTGACTACAGCATAAGAAACTATTATTATTGTAAGGACCCTAATTTCTCCGGCTAGGAATTGGTCACCCAATTTATTGCATCCTTTCCGATTGTCGGTATTTTATGGTTTTAATTTGTATAAATTCCATCGAATTGTCTTTTCTTAATTGATAATCGATATAAACTCTTGTCCCGAGATTTCCTCGAAAACGAGAATTCTAAATAATGAAATAAATTGCCATGTGCGTCGATTTATTTTGTGTAATCTTCCATTTTTTGTCCAAATGTGGCCACATATGAATCACACCATTTTCTGTGGTCCATATTTGGACTCTAAATGGCATAACATGGATATTTTTGGGAGCGGAAACCTCAAATCAATGCAAGTCATTGATGTTATTCTCCCCAGGGAGACAGAATGCCGCGAATCGTGTTTGGTTTTTCAATATCTGATATTTCGTTGGAATAAATTTTACTTCTGTTTACGAACCAAATGCGAACATCACCGAATGCGATTTTTTGTTTACCCTCGCACAAATGCGGCGCGGGCCACATGTGGCCCGCGGGCCTGGGTTTGGACCACCCTGTACCAGACATTTGTTCGAAAATATTCAACCATTCCAAATTTAAAATATCAAAGTGTTTTTACTTTTTAAAATTTTTGATCGTTTTAAATAAAATTCAATTTCACAAATTGCTATCGATGAAATCCTCGTCATACAGTGGGCTGTTGAAAACGTATTTCACATAGTACACCTCGAAAGTACAAATTTTCTCTAATTTTTTTAATATGCCCAAATTTATATTCCGAGTAAACACAGTAGCGAGGCTTGACCAGTTTACATTTTAAAATTAAGAGGGTTTTAACCTAGCAACCCTTTTCAGTCAAAATCCAATTTCACAAATTACTCTCGATGAAACTTCTATCAGATTGTACCGGACAGTCAGTTCTTAACCTGAAATCAATGCCATAAGCTTTATTGCTTGACCTCAATTAATCCCTGGCAATTACGGTGACCAGCTTTAAATTAAATGGCTTTGTTTGATTGTTAATTTTACAAAAAATTTTGTTTATTTTTTGCGGGGGGGGGGGGGGGGGGGGGACCAGACTCGAACTATGCTCTAGAAAAGCATACATTAAAAATATACTTGGTTATTGAAATTGACAAAAGCGGTCTATTATACTACACTCTGATTGAAATGGTTTGGATGGGTTCGGGCGAAATGAATAAAACTTGGATCGATTACGGTGACCACCTTTGAATTAAATGGTTTTGTTTTTTATTTCCAATATTCAGAGAGGAAAGGTGTTGAATTTTTCCTTGTTTTGAGCATTGCAATTCTTTTCGGGGGTAGGTGGGGGGGGGTCTGTTTTTATACGCTTTATTTTAACAAGAATTTAAGAAAGCATCTGACAGTTGTTGGAATATTCCAATGATATATAAATTGAGTAAGTCCAATGAGCTATTGCATCTTTTTTCATCCCTATAAGCCCCTTATTTTGATTAATCAGGTGCTCCAGGAGTATGTGTACCAATATGGAGGTAACTAATTTTCTTCGCCTACTTAACATCAAGCTGTGTAAAGAGACGGAAGCGTATGGGCAGGGGGTATATTCACTTGGCTAACACAGAAAGTTCATGCACTCGTAAAATTGTGGCCTAACCCTAACCTGGTACACATACTACGTGTTTACCAATTAATTTGCTATATCATGCCTTGTTAGGAACGTAATTGGGGTATGGGCGGTCGATCTCGGAGTGGGACTTTCAATTCTAATCGTTCCGAGCATGATTAATAAGGTTTATCGGTAATCTGAAAATTTGCTTAAACAACCAACTTCATGACGGCAATTAAAGTCAGACGTCATCTGCTGTTTCGTCACTAATTTAATTAATAATCTTTACCAAAGTCAGTAGTTTATTTTATCACAAACCAAAAGTCCACATTGGACAAAATAATTAAGAATGATAAAAATTGCATGATAATAAATGATAAAAATGCATTTCTGTGTAAGAATATATATATATATTCAAAATATATTCCAGTACACAACTAAATCTTACTTGCACGACCGCTACGGTAAAACCTATTTTTCTTCGAATTGACGTATGGTGCCGGTTTTCAGTAAGAAGGCAATTTACTAGATTAAAGTCGGCGCTGAGAATTTAAATGAATGATTTCTGGCATCGTTAAAGCAGATTTCGCTTCATGAATCGATAAAGTAATCCAGTAAGAAATACACTAAGCCTGGTATTTGTAACCGCGGTAGTAGCGTATTAGGTGTTCTAGTTTTTAGAACACGTTTCCCACATTTGTCACACGATTGTCACGATCTTTTGTAACGGAAAAATTTGGTAATTTTGCTCGTGACGTAATCGTAGTACATACAATTGGGGCAATTGGAATTTTTTGATAGATCCCCGGTGTATTCCCCTATTGCACACATAACCCAGTTTGAAACACTGGTCCCACTTATACCACACTTGTCCCAGTTGTCACAGCTAGTCCCGCTTATCCCGAGCCATTCTTCAACTTGTAATACGAAAATTTGATAATTATTCTTGTGTCGCACTCGTCGTATATACAAATAGGATAATCAGGAAGACTACGTTTATTACTTATCGATTTTAATCGGTAAGTATGTTGATAGGTATTTGTCTGTCTGTATGTCTGTTAGATGCACGCGATATCTCACGAAAGCGAGATTGAATCTGCTCCAGATTTTGCTCATCTTATCTCGGACCAGAAGCCTATTGATTTTGGGCAAATTATGTCGTATAATTAGCGAGTTATTAATTAATTTGTGATGGGACACAGGGTGTGGAGTGGGAGCGCTGATTTGGGGGATCCCCTAACTTTCGATCGATAAGTCTTCGGTCTCTGACCGATATTCTCGTTTATTATTGTGTTGAATCTCTTCATGATCCTTCGACATATTTTCAGTAGCTGTCAGCATTTCAGTGTTCGATCCTTCTTAGTGAATGTGTATGGCCTTGCATTGAACAATTTCCGAGTCTAGTGTAGTTTCGTACCACACGTATTACTAGTGGGCTTGTCATAACAGTTTTTGCATATGTCATTCTTAAACCCCATCTGACTACGCTATCCAAAAATTACGCCACTACGACGTCAAAATCGCGGGTAATCTTCTGCGCGTTTTGGACGACAATCCGTATATTTTGGCATGCCTTATTACTGTGACGTCATTTTTGGATGACGTAGTCAAGTGGCGTTTAGGAAGGGACATATAGAAAATTGTCACACCACGCCCACTAGAAGTTATTGTGGTAAGAAACTACACGAGACTCTAATTTCCTGCACGATGTCTTGATTCCTGCAAGGCTATGATATCACATGATTTACTTTTCCCAGGCGCACTTTTTGAAACAAACACCGATGCAGAGAGGAGGGCACTTCGACTGGCAACACAGCAAGTGAACTCAGATGGGAATCTTCTAAGCCCGTATATTCTAGTCAACCATTTACTAAGAAACGTCACAAAAGGAGACGTGTATATGTCCACAAAGAGCGGTGAGTTTGAAATATTTCTTTGCGCTGGACAAGTCTCCGGGCAGGTAGCCACAGATACCTATCGTGTAAGGGTACTAATGATAATGCCCCCCCCCCTCCCAAAATGAAAAAAAAATTAAAGAACCAAGTTTATTTGGAACATATTAGATAGAGAACTTAACTTGCAAATCGTTCTGGATTACTGAAACGTCCAGGTACAATCATACAAAACACAAGATCAAGTGATAAATAAATATTTATAGTACATCAAAGATTCCCATCTTCAATCAAACACCCGATAAAACCTGCGTTCATGTTCAACCTATGTTCATCAAGTTCATGTGGTAAATAAATTTTTCTTGTTTTTGTAGAAGTATAGTTTGGAAAAACCGAAATCTATTTTGTTTATCATATCCTGATTCATTACACTCTGAAATGATTTCGGTTTTCCCAGAACAAAGCCTAATTTTTCTAATTACTCTTGCAAAAATAGCGAAAACTTATTTTACACATGAACTTCGTCGGTTTGAAGTATATTTATTGCTTACCGTGTGTTTTTCCGAGAACGGAAATCTCTTCTACCAAACTTTTTGCCTTGATTAATATAGGAGGTTGAACCCGGGTAGTTCTATTTACCGTATATTTTCGCGGGCAATAATAAATCGAAGACTTTAACTCTCGCTTCATTCTATATTGTCGGAGTTGCCCAGCTACGAATGAGTGGTTTGTTAGTCTTTACATTTTCAGGGAATTGCGATTTGTGACTTATAAAACCAAAAGTATTTCAAATATACATGAGATACTATCAAGGGCCTATACGTAAAAAAATATCACATGGACATCGAAGTCGACAATAATACTAATTAGTAATTACGTTTATTTTACAGTTTGCGACATCGCGAAGATTGGCGTGGTTGCCTTGGTAACAATGACGTCATGCTCGGTAGAAACGTCAATTCAATCCATTGGGGATTCACTGAACTTGCCAGTGTTACAGGTAAGATTGACGTATTTGCGCAACCCCCCTAATCTTTAGTATATTTGGAAAATTCTAATTGTAAGCTGAAAGCAGGCTCAGTTTTGACGTCAGGTTCAAGCTGTGTGCGTTTTCTCGCTCCACTCAATAGCGAAGGGCGGTGCTTTTGGATTGAAGCGTTGCGCGGGTGCAACTGGCCTGAATGATATTGACTGTGCTTAGTCAGGGGATAAGAATCAGAACCCCACCCCCTCCCCTTTTTTAAATGTAAAAAAAATTATACTTCTGAGCGCCTCAGGTCTTTTAAAATGCCACGGCCGACTAGCTTCTACGTTTAACTAGGAAATTAGAAGTTCCAATCTTCCCTCCTCATTTAAAAAATCTTGGCTACTCCCCTGATGCCAACATAACATAATCGACATCATTACCGAATATTCCCATTTCTTCATTCTGTTAAGATTGGTTCAAAATACTGCGGATCACCTCGCCTATCTGGGAATTATTTTTTCACTTCTCGTCCAGAGGAAGAAATCATTTTGCAAGCCTTGACTCAATATATCTACTCTAATCGTCTACGAAGTATGGTCATCTGTTACGAGCAAGGAACAGGTAAATGGCAGTTGATACTGATATCTAACGATATATAGCTGAAATGGGCGAGCTACGGCCCGCGGGACAAATCTCGGCCCGTTGAGTAATTCAATCTGGCCCGCCCAAAGCTGCCACAACCAAGGTGAAACCAGATTTTGATGTTTCAGCTAAAAAAAAAAGCTCAAGGAATTTGTTGCAATTGCGATTAAATTTAGTTCGGGCAGGAGGCTTATATTTTCCACTTTTGCTTTCGTAACACTGTGAAATTTTTCCAAAAATGCAACTTTTTACGTCACAATTGCATGGCCCGTCAACTTAAGTGGGCAAAATTTTCGGTCAGTGGTTCAAAAACCTTGCACACCCCTGATTATACAGGGTGTCCATGAAGTATTTTTTAAAATTGCAAAGGTAATTTATCGATACCATATGTTGTTTTGGCTCTCACAGATGTATTAAATGAAGTAAAAATACTTAAAGAATGACTGATTAAAAACAACAAACCTGGTTAAGATATATCGAGAACTGACTTCATGGCAAAATTGAAATTATAAAGGGACGTCATAGATACCCTGTATATAAAAAACGATTACATAGTCCTAGGTGACTGTTTCCATACGTTACTTTAAAAAGTAACCGCACGAGAGGCGTTGGTTTTCAAAATTAAAATGTCGCATCATCAGCGGATCGGGGTAAATATGAAAATCCAATCAAACATTTGAATGCTCTGTCGTTTTATGTAGTGTTTAAGGACCATAAACTGGTTAACTACTCCGGTGCTAGGGCTCTTAAGAAAAGTGTGACCCCCTCCAAATATGATAATAAAAAAATAACAGAACCCGTTACTCGTTTCAATTCTTCTACAAAATTATATTTAAAACACTTCTGTTTATGTATGATTGTACTCAAAAGTTCAGTAATCTAGAATTTGCACAAAAGCCATGTTCGCTCAAAAATGGGTTTCAAATGACATTGGTTCTCCAATTCAAAATAAAATAAATGCAGAAATAGAATCGCCGAAACAGGTTTAACCTATATTTGATAAATAGTTTGATACCCTGACATTGTAACAATTGAAGACCAAGTCGATGCTAATAGAGTTAACACGCGGAGTTGAAGCGGCGTTTGGCTGAAAATGTCAGAAATCATTTTTCATTGCGGATTTGGCTCAGAGCATGGCTGGCGCCCGATTTTTCTTCACCCGCAAGGAAAATACTCGCACAATTTCATTATGGTAAAAATGGCACTCCCGAAGTATGTGAACCAAGATGGCGGACACCGGAACGTAGTATGAAGTATGTGTACCAGGTTAGAGTTAGGCCATAATTTTATTCCAATTTTCTTTATTTTAGTTCTATTACGAGTTCAGCGAAAAGCCAAGTGTAGTATTTGTACCCGAAATTATGGCCTAACTTTAACCTGGTACACATACTACTGGAGTACCTACCAAAAATAGTGTCTACAGCGTCCAGGGGTTTTCAGCCTTTTCGGAGAAGTAGAATCGCCATGAAGCATTCCAAAAGGTCGAGGATACCCTCTACACTAGTTCAATTGTCCTGTCCAAATTGTAGAAATTAAAAGTGATCTTCAAAGTTTAGCAAGTTTAATATAGTGGTGAACCCAAATGGCATCTGATGATATTTAAACTATATACCTATCATGACATAGACCAGGGCTACTCAACTAGCGGACTGCGATCCGAATCCAGAGCTTTCGAGTATTTGATTCGGACCGCACCTAATTCTTTATTTTAGATCATTAGCCCCGCGCTTGAAGTTTCATTTTATAAAATGACTTTTATAGTTTTAATTATACATGAAAAGAATTATTACACCATAATAAACAATCTAGATTAGCTAATAATCGTTAGCCGGTCAAGGAAGTGCGCGTTTAAGGATGCCGAAATATAATTTCTGGAAAGACCGGACCTAATTAATTTTGAAGTTTTGTATGCGGATCTTCGGTAAAAATTATTGAGTATCCCTGACATAGTCCCTCGCATTTGTGAAATTTTTGGAGTCTCAAGACGCCGCGGAGCACTGGTTGAAAACCACTATCCTAACCCCTGTATCACACCCCACCCGCCTAATATGAAATGAACAAATGTTGTTATAAAATGTCAGACGGCAATTTTCGCTATTTAAAATCTTTCGCTCGATTCTAATTTAGTCATAGAATGACAATTCAATAAGAAAAATCAGATTTGGTGACAGGGGTGACACCTCAAATCAATTCTCCTAATTAACGGCGGGAAAAAATTGGCGCGCTTTTACTCAATTGTGACATGGTACAATGTCATAATTCCCTGTGGTGTTAACCAATAAAAACCCTTCATTATTTATTCATAAAGATCAGATTAGAGTTCTGTAATTATTTCTTTTTATGTGGCGCCCATAGATAAATCAAGCTTAAAAATTAAACTTTATCCATGGCCCTAGCTTGTCCGTTGAATGTAATTTCATCTAGAGACCCCATTGTCGATGTAATAATTCGAGACTTGTGACGAAACACGATTTCGCGCTAAAGCATGTAAATAAACATATGGCAAGATTATCTTTATGTCGTCACAGCGGATAATCTCGTTTATCATTGTTATAACACAATCTCGTATTTTGAGAGATTATATCTATCTCTACAGTTACACTTGTCGTAACAGATTTGCCATATGGCAGTCGCGATCCGGGTAAAAGTGATAAGCATTCCGAAGTTGGTATATTTTCCTACTTAATTTTTTTATATTCTAAAAACATTAAAGATATTGGTGCCCTTTTTTAACTGTCGCGGATAATGAATTTTCCATTTTTTTTGCCTGGTCGTAGTCGATATATGGAGTTAAAATTGAAGTATAATTATTTTCGAGAATGGAAAAAGTGATCGTCTGTCCTTGATGACAGACTAGACGCGAATATGAGTAATTAAGGGAAAAGGGTCGAAAAAAATTACAAAAATGATGATGAGATTGTATAAATGATTTCAATAAAATTTGCTTCGTCAAATTAAAAATTAAAAGAGCGTCGATTTTTAGTAAACTCGAAAAAAGGCTTGCGATTTATGTTTGGAACTCGCAACGTCTCACAGTTGCAACATTAATGAACAATACGACTTATTTCAGATTAAAACCAAATACAGATAAACCAGTCATAATGTTCAATAAAATTTCAACAATATGACGGAATTCAAAAATTCAGTAGAGCGAAATTGATTCCGTTACTTTTTGAGCTTACCTGAACACGACGCTCTTCGAATTTGAGATTTGTCAAAAAACAGCTTCAAAAAGTGCAAAAGTGTTTTATTTAAACAATTCCATCATTGGGCAGGGTTTCCCAAACTGCGGTCCGCGGACCACTAGGGGTCCGTGATGACTGTACAGGGGATCCGCAACGATATGAAAAGAGTCTCAAACATTATACAAATGGATCATAATCTTATCGAATTGCCGCTAGCTTATCAGTATTTGACGGTAGTATGGATTGATTCAGACTTTCGTTTCGTCCAAGGAAACATCACCCTTCCTCGTTGGTTAGGCACAGAAATTGATACGACATAGGATAGGGCTACGTCAAAAATAAGATTCACAAACTGCGGTCTGCGGCCCAAAAAGTTTGGGAAATCCTGATATAGGGTGTCCATTAAATCTCAAAATTTTTTAGAAACTGCAAAGGAAATTTATTGATAACAAATATTGTTTTGGCACAGATGTATTAAATGAAGTAAAAATCATTTAACAATTACTGATGAAAAAACAACAAACCTGGTTAATACTTCATAACAAAATTGAAAATATAAAGAGACTTCTAAATTTTGTTTTTGTGGGGAGGAGAGTTAAAGTTTTTGACCTCTTCTCTTCAATTACTCATATAGGCGTCTACTTTTACAGATTGTCACAAAGGCTAGACAATATATTAACAAAAAACATCATTGCTAAATAAATCAGCGCCATTGTCGTCTGCGAAATTGAACTGTTATTCGGTTACTTATCGATTATTGGTGATAACTTAGCTTTAATGAAAGAGAAGAGACGTGGAAAGAGTATCGTTAACTCTTTGAACTCTGAATCCCCAGAACGATGCTACTCTCTCACCCTGACCTCCCACGGCGTCGCATCGATTTGACGCGTTAGAAAATTGTAATATCCCTAATTTTAAATCAAAATAACTTCTAAACCATTAGATATCAGATGGTCTGTAATATATCATATAAAAGCTTATCTAGTCTTTTATTTTTAACTGGCATTATTTTTCACGAGATGTTTTGATGAGATGTGTAAGCCTATTTGTAGCCCCATCTACTATTTTTTTGTATTTTGGTAACATTTAATACATTTCTTAGAAATGTATCATCAATATAAGTACAAATTTGAAAAGTATACAAAATTACCTTTCGGAGAATATACGTATGACTTTCTTAACATACGCATAACTCATTTTATTGCAGAATTTGTACTATCGATTCAAATGGTTTGCGAACAAAATTTATCAACTATTTGACGCCAAGTTTGCGTAAGGACGGAAAGGGCGACGACGACATTGTCGTGATGGCGTTCATGCGACGTATCGTGCGTAACTCTTTGCGTGAGGTATATTGCGCAATTGCACATCTGGTCGTTCACAGCTTGAGTGCAGATTGTGGCTTCATTGCATTAGTATCATATCCTCGGCCGCAGATAAAACCCTTTCAGACGAATTTTGATCGAACATAGTAAAATTGCTAGAATATAAAGGCCATTTTATATACGTTTACTATTTGGATATGGGACGAAAATGAATGGCCAAAACGAAATATTTGATCCTCATGAATTTATGAGGTTCCGCCGGAAACATCAAGGCTAATTATTCACCGTTGGATATCATGAAGATTGAATAAAAAAAAACTGATAACGGGTACACGGAAGACATGGTGGCACCAGTAGCTCACCTGGTCAGTGTTTTACATTTTGCAGCCTCATTAGATTTTCGAAATTACTGCATATACGCTACATTCCTGATATCGCTATATTTACAATGGATTTTAAACGAAAGCTTTGTCCAGATGAAATATTGGATAGTATTCATCTATCGGAAGAAGAAAATATGGCACAATAAAACTCAGCAATGGCGCTAAACAATGCATCCATCGATATGTTCCATCATTCTGTTTTTAAAAATCCTTATTTTGGCTATTCGTATTTTTTTTATCTTTATGCAATTAAAACGGCAATAACACTGCGTATTGTGTGTTTTAGTCGAACCGATGTAATGCGTAAATTTCCCCGTGTATCGTTTACAAGTCGTAAGTCGCTTCACGAGTACGAACTTAAGTAAATGACGTTACGAGCATGCGAGGAAAAGTGTTTCTCCTATGAAACGTAAACGTGCTACGTGCCAACGTAATTGCTTAACGTCGCTGCGTAACGGCGTAAATGTGTTAGGTCGTTATTTACGTCCTTTTGACGTCGCCTCGATCTTGCGACAAACAAAATCACGAATAAAAATGCTTCTAAAATTTGAATGGTGCAACATAAGTTCAATCTAATGGTATCACTGGAAAGCTATCTTCAAATTCCACAAATTTTGTCGATAATGTACTAGGTTTAATCGAAAACAAATTTAAGTTTTGTCAATTAGATTTGAGCAATTTTCAGAAGTTTTTTATGCTTTTTAATTTTGCCAATTTTCATAAAATGATCACAATATTTTATCTCAATTTTAAAATTATACTTAGTCCTGTAGATTATCTTTCACACGATGTAAAACTTGTCTGAATATAATAAATGGTTCGCGAGATATGAGGTTTCAAAGTTGCATACTTCTTACGGGATGCGAAAGCCGCTAAACCGGCTTTCAGCGTCAGAAGACTTTCTCGGGAAAGCCGGTTTAGCGGCTTTCAGGGTTCAAAGAGTTTTAAACTTCGATTGGTCGGTTTCCCATACCCGGACTTGGTACTATAATTTGAGCTCTAGTTTCAAATGGTTCGTGAAGTAATACAGGTACACTGTTACAATTTCTTTTTCCACACTTGTCCACTCGACACTACTGGAATACCAATATTTATTTCATTGTAACTGCAGGGTGGTCGCTAGAAAAGCAGAAAATTTGGAAGTGAGATGAGATGACGAATAAAATGCGTATAGGTTAAATTGGAGCGATATCTCACAAGTTACATTTTAAAACGCTACACGAACTTGGACTTGACGAACTTGGAGGTTAAGACATCGCTTTGAAGTGCACGGACGACATTTTGACCATCTATAAGTGTAATATAAGTTATGTAATATAACGTAGCTGTTTGACAAATTTTCTGTTTTTCTAGCGACCACCCCGGTATATCAAATTAGACTGATGCATTATAGATGTTTCCGAGACCTTTGACCCCCGTAAAATTCTTTCTATACTTTACCATTGCAAAAAAATTTGATGCTTATTTCACGAGTACAGGTTAAACCTTTAGGGTATTCTCGCGGAGCCCTTCGTTTGGAGCACATTGAGATCATATGCACTAAGATGTACTCAAACTGTATAAGATTGTAGCGGTGCATTAAGTGCCTATTAATACTAATTAACGTAGATAGGCTAAGATCAGCTTTTTCGTCTTTCCAAGTAATTCATTAAAAAACCAATAGCCAAAATCAGGGATATACCACCTGCGGCCCGCAAGGAAAAAATGGGTACTCCTGAAGTATGCGCACCAAGATGCCGCATAACCTGAACCCTAACCTGGTACACAACTTGAGTTCAGGTTGTGCGCCATCTTAGTGCTCATACTTCAGGAGGTCCAAAAATTGTGTGGCCCGCAGTCAGTGCCAATTTTGAATGGTGTGTGTCCAGTGAAACGAGTTTTGAATTTAGTTCAATATGGTAGTGCAAGTAATTCCAATCTCTTTACGTTGCAAAGCCTATACGTGAGTCCAATTTTTATGAAGTCACAATGCATCAACAACTAGCTTGTGCGAAGCGAACAACGCATGTCATGAGATCAATAACCAAAAAATTTGTGCGTGCAACTACTAGAAAGCCTATGTTAAATAAAGTTGTGGCCCGCGGTTTCTTCCAGTTATTTGAATGTGGCCGAGTTAAAATAAATAAGGGCCGGTGCTTGAATACCCGCCCGATGTAAGAGTCCAATTACATAACAGATAGCATTGATTACGTGACACCGTGGTTCTCAAACTGCGTCGTTTCAATATTGATAGGGCGTCGCAAAACTTTTCTTCTTTTGCGGATTTGTACCTGCGGTGCGTAGAAAAAGTCAAAATTTTTGTTATTCTCGTAAAAATCATACTTGAGAACTGGAAATAACAATATATTAATTATTGTGACAATCGATCTTATCTATATATATATATATTTATTTTTATATATTTGTGTGTATAATTTTACTTTAAAAATAACAAGGGCCCGTGCTTGAATAAGGACCGGTTCGAATAAGGGCCCGATTAGTGAGTTTAGTTAAAAAAAAAGGCTCGGGCTACAAAACGAGCAAATAGGGTAGTCAAAAAAAAAACTTTCTGGCATATTCAATTAGAAATCTGAGTGCAAAAGCATCAGCAAATTAATGGATATTAAAATCAAAATGTCACCAGTAGAGGTCAGGATCTTGTTTTTGTCACAGATTATAGATCCTCCCCTTTAATTTAATTAGTCTTCATCGAAATAAACTCGCAAAAATAAACCAATTATTCAAATATTTTTAATAAACCAACCTATTTTAAGTCCCAATCGTCGAAATGGAACTACCAAAAAATTGATTAATTTTACTAAAATTTGAAAGTATTTTATATCTCTGTTATTTTACTATAATAAAATATTACAGTACTTCAACCCACACTCGCGACTTTGATAAAATAAGCCCAATTTATCTTCGAATCGAGTTTGGCCAACTATAAATATACGTGCTCTGTTGAGCGGAAATGACGTGAAATAACTTAATTTCAGTATTAATTTTACTTATCGATTGAGTTTCTGCGAGACCAACTATTCATCCTTCTTCTATGCTTTATTGTCGGCGGATTCGTTTTCGTATACCGCAAGGATGCCGTAACACGAGTGAAGAAAACTATTCTTAGACTTTTGAATCACTTAGAAATAGTAATGATGTTACATATATTTTAATTTTCGTGAAAACTTTCGATTGAAAATCCAAAATAAAAATGTTTTTCATTTTCACGTTTTGGTATCTGAAAAATCCATTACACGCGCGGGCTGAAGGAGATCTTTTTAATTATTTATGACGTAAACAGAGAAATTGATTTATTTTAATTCGATCTCATTATGACGGAATAAACGAATTTGAAAACGAAAACACTACGAATGAGATCATGCAAAATGCAATTGTAACTATTCCGACGCGGAGTGGACTTGCAAAACTGTTGTTGTTATTTAAAACTACCGGTAGAATAGTTTAGCCTGTTCTATCCAAGCAATTTCTTGACTAATGTTTGATTACTGCAAATAAAATTAAAACTCTTAAGAAGACAAAATGATCATTAAGTTATTGGATAGAAGAGAAAGCGGCTATCGCTTAGCCTTACAGTTTTAAATGCACCGGGGAAAACGGTGAAAAATTTCACGCATTGACAAGGCAACAAAACGTTATGTATTTTATCCACGAGAGCGTCTTTTCAACAATAAAGTTAAAGTAGGATTTCATGCTTGATGGGAAAATTCTGAGTGCTGACAAGGGGACACACTGAATGAGCGGGGTTGTCGCCCGTGTTACGCATGTTGCACACCCTTGTTGAAAAGCATTTGTTGGTTACTGCGGGTAGACAAATGCATGTAAGCCTTGAAAGTAATTTTCATGTCAAGTCTAACACAGTCTAAAATGGTCACCCTCTGAATGACTGTTGTTTGTCAATGGTAGGTCGTCTTATCGGCTTTCCTCTCTACCGCGATAAAGCCCATATTGTCAAAATCATATTAAAAATTGTCGCAAATTTCCACTTCAATTAATTTATGACGTCACCATCATTCTAGATACAACAACAATCCAACGATTGTTGACATCATTATCAAAAAACCAACGGCACGAGGTAACAACGAAATTAATGGACATCCCAGCTTCGATAGAGAAAGACAAGGACGACAACTCAGCAGTCACGGACACTTTTAAAAATTTGTCAAAAAAACAAGGCGACAAAAAAGTCGATGCGTTTATTGTTTTTGCTTCCGCTTCAGTGACCGTTCAGTTTATAGCAAAGGTGAGTGAACCCGGAAATTTAGTGACGTGGTACGTTGTTGGAAATAGTTAATTTGAAAGTTGTTATAATAATTTATTAATAGCAGGCTTCAATTGATAGCGAAAGTAATGTATATTCTCATTACGTGTTTGGTGGAAAAAATTGCGCAACTTGAATACAAAGTTTACAGCGCTGGAAAAGTCCAGAATAGGCCAAGGTTTTTGGATCAGAGGCAAAAAATTTTGTCTACCTAGACTGGCGGGCCATGTAAATGTGACGTAAAATGTTACATTTTATGAACAATATTTACAGTGTTACAAAAGCAAAAGTGGAAAACAATAAGCCACGCGCCAAAACTCAACTTATTCGCAATCTCAACAAATTCCTTGAGCTAATTTTCAGCTAAAAACATTAAAAGGGGCTCCCGAAGTATGCGAACCAAGATGGCGGACATCGGAATGTAATATGTGTACTAGGTTAGGGTTAGGCCATAATTTTAGGTATAAATACTACGGGAGGCTCTTGGCTAGTCTTCGAACTGATAATAGGACTAAAATAAGGAAAATTGGAAAAAAATTATCGCCTAACCCTAACCTGTTACCCATGTTACGTTCCGATGTCCGCCATCTTGGTTCGCATACTTCGGGAGCACCCATTAAAATTTGGTTTTCGTTTGGTTGTTGCGTCATCAGGCGGGCGGTCGTTTGCTCATGTCAGAGCTAGAATAATTGACTCTACTTGAGCTACCAGTTATCAAAGACTCGCAGTGATGACTCGTTCTAGATCAGTGGTTCTCTACCACACGACGCGACCACACCACTAGTGGTACGCGAGAACTTTTCAAGTGATACGCGAGCAGCTATGAATTAATGCAACAATTAACTTTTGAGTTGACTTAAATATGGCGGCAACGTTTTATTTTCTCTTATCTTTCATTCGCTTAACGCCGTTCATAGCGATTTTGCGAGCAACTAATGCTTTGTTACTGCACATAATTAATACGCTGAAACTTTGCACGGAGCTATAAAAATGGATGTAGTGACACTTATTAAAATACTCCCATAGCGCATTTCCTGTGCCATTGTTCCCCAACCTAAAAAATGGATGTCGGTGGTACGTGGCCAGAGTAAAAAAGGCACTCTCGAAGTATGTGCACCAAGATGGTGCACAACCTGAACCCTGACCTGGTACACATACTATGTTCAGGTTGTGCGCCATCTTGATGCACATACTTCTTGAGCTCCGTAAAAAAAACTAAAGTGGTACGCAGTCAGCAGAAGGTTGAAATCCACTGTTCTAAATAATAAAATGACTCGTACTCGACTAACCGTCGGCGGCTCAGTTTGTGGCCACGGAATTGGATGACCTTAACGTTCGGTCATGTTCCAAAAACTTCAAATTTTAATTTGTATATATATGTTATTCGCTCCCGTAGTATGTTCACCAAGATGGCGCACAACCTGAACCCTAACCTGGTTCACATACCATGTTCAGGTTGCGCGCCATCTTGGTGTACATAATACGGGATCACCCTATTGTTATACGATTCGGCAAGAGCAATAAATTTTTTCTCAGAGAATGACTCGATTCGGATGACTTCGCTACTCGGGTTTTGGGGACTGCTGCTCATTACCGGTTTAGATAAAAATACAAATTTTAGAATTAACAATGAATGAATGGATCGAAAAAGCCACTGTTTTTAATAAATTCTTTATTAATACATCATACCAGGTTCACCGATCGAATCCCGGAACCAGTTCGGGTCAAAGGTGGGTGATAGCAAACCCTGGCATTAGAAAACAACACATGAGGGAGATAGAGAGAGCAACACAATCAAGAGTCGTCGTCATAAAACATAAAATCAATCAGAATAACCCTCTGGTACAGAAGTAAGTCAAAAGTTTTGTCAAAATGTTGCGTTTTCCTCTCCTTGTCTGAGATCCAAACATATTCACGAAACTGAAATTTGAAGGGCAATATTTTCTGCTGTGCACGGTTAGTTTATGCCGACAAAAGATTTTATGATATAAAAATATTTTGGCGCTCCAGAGGTGTGTGTACCAATATGGAAGGATTGAAATCTATGGGCAGGGGGTACAGTCACTTGGCTAACACAGACAGTGCCCGAACTTGTAATAGAACTAAAATACGAAAAATCGGAATGAAATTAGGGCCTAACCTGGTACACACACTACGAGAGTAACTATACCTTTACTGCATATAATTGTATTCATAATCACAAGAACAACAACGTGCAATAAATTCATGCTTCAGATACAGAGAGATTCTCTATACAGCTCAGTACAAATTTATCATATACCATAGAATATATTAACTGTTTTTAGTCAAAACATGCCGTGGAATACCACTGAAAATAAAGTTTTGGTTAAGGCTCTTTGCTATACTAATCAGCAATTTTTAAACTCAAGACCTCAGACCCTCCTGAGAGCTATCTTATGCATTTTTTCATCAGTATGTTCATTTTAGAGTCATTTTTAGATTGATATTTTTCGGTCATTATCACTACATGACGAGAAAAGAGTAGACACATGGCCTGCCATAGTTTTTATGTTTGGCTTTTTCTTTCCTCAGTATGATTTAATGTTAGACTCCATTATGGGTGACGCTGCCTGATAACCATTACTGATTTATCGCGTCTTCCCTCACACTGAAATGCATTTTTTTTATCTTTCTTAATTCTGTATGCACCATGTGAGCTTTCGGAATGGCGAAAAATGCACTACTGACTTAACTAGTGAAGGGAGTCCTGAGGGAACCAAAACTTGTCATCAAGCAGCGAGGCCAAATAGTTCAATATCTAATTAGGATTTAAAAAGTCTGGTATTTTAATTTGCAGAAAACCCTTATAACCTGCGAGTATCGCCAAGCGAGCTCCTCAATACACTGAATGGCCGGGGTAGGATAGGATTTACATATTCATCCCGGGGGAGAGGAGAGCCCATGAGACGTCTTAATCATATGACGAAACTACGGCCCTCATCCAGTTACCAGTCCATGTCGGGTATGGGATTAGTTAGCCAGTTATTTGTTTTCGGAAGCATGGACTGATGGTGGAGGAGGCCGCAGCCGGCCAGCGGTTACGTGAACCACCCTATGGGTATTCCCCCATTTCAACCGTTTTATATTAACAAAGCTGTTTCTTCATGCAGTGAAAAATTATAAATCTGCGATTTTGACTTATAGGTTTATAAGCGCATGGAACAACGACCTGGCAATTGAATGTCCGACATGCATGATTCCGAATGTGGAAGCAGGTGACATACCGGTATGTATCAGTTCAGACAGGACTAGGTTAATAATAACACAGTAGATGCACGAATATTCTTCTAAAGCAGTAGTTCGCAACCTATTTGGATAAATTCCGCCTTTTGTCTGTTTTGGAACTCTTTATTCATCTTTCACTAAGCGTAAACCCTCACTCTGTTATCCGTTTAATTTTTAATTGGTTCGTAAGTAGTGCTACACACAACTGACTTTTGCGCAGTTGAAATAATTAATGATATATCCATAAATATATATTACAATAATGCTAAACGATATTTGTTAAATTACACCAAGTACAAATTGATATTTCCTACCCAAGAAGCAAATTCCCCCTAAGGAATTCCTTCCCAAATGAGAAATGTTGATCTCAACAAATCAGTGATAGAACGGTTAAAAGCAACCTCTTGCCATAATACTTTTGAAGAACATATTTTTAAAATGACGCTCCCGAAGTATGTGCACCAAGATGGCGCTGAGCCTGAACCCTACCCTGGTACATATGCTATGTTCAGGATGTGCACCATCTTGGTATATGACGGCATAACTACAGGTGCCTTGAAAAGATTACCGCAGAAGAGTTACTCAATTAATCAATTATTAATCAATTATCCGTCAATTAATGTTATGCGAGACTAACTTCCTATCCTTCTTCTATGTCTTTGTGCTAGTGTATTCGTTTAATGCGAGGATGCTGTAGCACCAATAAATATGACTATACCATCTAATTCAGAGTCCTGCCGCACACTAATGCAAATGTCTTTCTGTAACGTTTCGTCTGACCAATGTCGGGCTTTCTCAGGCAAGCAGTTTACAATAATGTTGTCAATTTTACAGATGACCGCTTTCTACATATATGACGGCATAATACATCTTAGTCGCGCTCTGACGGCCATGCTGAACGACAATTGGAAAAGTCCAACTTCGCTCGAATGCCGGACGCTTACAGTCACCCCGTGGTCCGGCGGAAGGAATCTTATGGATAAAATAAGAACAGTAAGTCTGGTCTCGACAGCGAAGGGTATGGCTGCCATGCCTCGTGCCAAAAGTTTTGATTTTAAAATGTTTCAATAAACTAATTTCAAATTTTTAAAACTCGTTTTTTAATCGAACAATAACGTATTTCAATTCAACATGAATTGTTAAAAATTGTCAGTCAACGATCAGGTGGGCGCATTTTTAAACGTTTCCACGTAGATACGCCACTGATTGTCGGGGTTCTCAAGCGGAATGTCTATAACATGGACCAATCATTTGACAAACCACACTACTCGTTCCTTACCAGTTAAGGTTTTTGTTGAACGATTCATCAAATAAAGTCCTAGATAAGTGAACCAATCAGCGGTACGTGAATCGGCAAGTGTCTTCTGTCATCATTCGCATCATCTGTAATTTCGCCATGAATCTGAGTTTTCTCGATCATTGCCTAAATTTTTGTGCCACCCGACCCTTAGAATATCATTAAGTTCATTCACAAGCATTATCCTTCAAATCGGCTGTTTAAAAGTGCAAAGTGGTGTTTTCATGGACCCACTACAGTGAGAAATCTATCAAATCTCTTACAAAATTGTTTCACCACGTGATTCGAACCTGTGAACATACGCAGATAATCAACTTGTGCGACAGGCATGTTTTAACCCATCTAAACTCTATCTATGATAACTTAAGTCATCATCAACTGTGACGTAATGCCCCACATTGGATATGTCAACTTTGTATATTTGTAAATTGGACTTACCGTCCCCCTCAAAAGTCAACACTAACTAATAAGTCGAACAAAAGTTTATTATTAAAGTATATAATTCAAACAGACAGAGCACATGCTTAAGATATTATTAAGGACATACAGCCCTTTTACAGGTGAATGACCAGTATTTATACTAGTGACATGACATGACCTTAATGATTACTGTGAACAAAAACATAAGATTCGTGGAAAACTATTGAACTATCACTAACTCGTTTTAGAATCTTTACGGTTTTGTCCCGCGGCCAATTAATGCTTGAATCTTGTTCATTTTCTCAGTTGAATTCTTCGGGACTGCTCGGCACGATGTCATTGAACAGCAAGGGCTACCAAACGACAGCAGTATTTGAAATATACGATAAATTACCTGGTGCTGGAGAAACGTTTATAAAGGTAAAAATTACACAGGGGGATAAGAACCAATGTTGGGGGCCGAGCCGTTTTTGGAATGTCATGATAATCACCCAACCCGATCTTGTCTTTAGATCTATAAGCATGCTTGTCCATGAAATTGCAACTTTGCTGTCCCATCCATGGGATTTCCATGGAAATCCCATTACCATGGACAACCGTGCCGGTGTCCAGTCACAAAATAAATAATAGATACAAGTATATGAAAAAAGAAGTATAAAAAAACAATTAATTCAGGTAAAAATTATGAGGACTAGAGTTGGCTGTGATGTAATCAAGGTGCTATGACATAGCTACTGTCCCACCCGTAATACAAATGTGTGCTGTCCATTCCACTCAAGTTATGAATGGAATACTCGTACTGGTACCGCAATGGGCCAACCGCTAGTAAGACTTCACTTGACTTCATCGGGTGTTTAGAGATTTTCCCTCTCAATATTGCTTATCAGTACCATGGGTATACTGTATATGAATATATATACAATTACCATTAAACTAGATTCAGTGACTTGGATAACCACTTGGAGTAATATCCATGTTTGTGCTACTTCGGTATGCGATCTCATAGTGTGATCTGAGTGATTTTAGATAGGGTTAATGACTGAATTCTATGAGAATGTTTTTATGAGAAAAAACGCATACAAAAGTAGAACCACAATTGGCGCCACTTTAGTATGCAATTGAGATCTCCTTAGGGTGGTGAAATCACGTACCAAAATATATTTATGGCGCAGAAATCGCATACCAAATGATACCACATTTTCTTTCATACGAGAAAGATCTTACATTATCCTGTAGCCTAGTTTACATAGTCGCCTTTGTTTTGTAAACTTTTGCCGCAACACCGCAACTCAATTCTGCTCTTTTTTATTAATGCAAAGCACGTAGACTCACAAAATTGTTCTGTGGATCCCTGGGTCGGCTGTATTTTAGGTTTATATGAGAACAATATCAGAGATGTGAGGTCAAAGTTCGATGTTTCCACTGAAGGCGGAACCGGATATTCACTTCCCTTTCCTTCCTACGATTTTTACGAAGCCTTGTTCGGAGTTAAGGTGACCAACCACATTATCTTTGCTTTCTGTTTTTAGCTTTACGACTGGAAATCCGGATCACCGAACAAAACGAAAGGAACAACAAGCATGCTGCCAAATATTGCAAACACGAATCGAACTTTCAGGGTTGCCACATTGGAGGTAAAAAACATTTTGTCTTATTTTACGGTGTCAAAAAAGGCATCCCACTTGTCCCTCTTGTACAACACCTGTCCCATCTGTACATGTTGTACCACTGTATTGGACTATTAAATGCCGTGGAGGTGAAAAAAAAAACATTTTGCCGTATTCTACGGTGTCAAAAAGGCGTCCTACTTGCACCAGTTCCTCCTATGGTACCAAAGATCTGTACCTGTTGTACCCCTTTTGTTTGGCTAGTATAGCCATTAGAGGTAAAAAGACCACTTGCCTCTATTGTACCACACATGTCCCATTTGTACCTCTCGTGTATTGGACTAGTAAAGGCTTTAGAAGTAAATAAAAACGTTTTGTCGTATTTTACGGAGTCAAAAAGACGTCCCACTTGTGCCGCCTGTCTTTCTCGTAACACACTTGTCCCATCTGTACCACTGCTTTGGGCTAGTATAGGCGTTGGAGATAATTTGTCGTATTTTACGATCTCTGGAAAAGGCGTCCTACTTGCACCACTTGCTCCTATTGTATCACACTTGCCCCATCTGTATAGGTATATGTGTGTATGGGGGTGCAAAAAATGTTGTCCTATTTTACGGTGTCAAAAAGTCCGTTCAACTTGTCTAACTGCCCCATCTGTATCACTGTCTAGTAAATGCATAAAGTTTTGGGGAAATGGTTAACAAGAAACGACTCGAAGCAAGGTCATAAACACTTTTTCAAAAAAATACGAATCTCATCTCTGAACAAAATCGCAGGTGATCACTAGTATGTCAAGAGCTACTGAATCTGAAACTATATAAAATTGCATTGTGGGATTTCACGTACGTAAAAGACTGGTGAAAGTTTGATCCCATTACAATATGCTCAAAGCAAAGCCACGCGCACATACTCAAAGCATATGAGGTAATCTCAAAGCAGAGATATAGCGGACTACTAAGTCCCCAAGAGCTACTGAAAATATATAGAATTACCGTGTGGAGTTGCGCGTTAGTAAATCTCAAAGCAGAGTTAGGGCCGACTACTCAGATAGCAAGAGTCACTAAAACTATATAGAATTATGATGCTGCATAACGTGCTAGTAAATAGCGATTGGCGCGAAATTTGAAGCAGCTGAAGTTAATAACTAGCAGCTGATACGAAAACAACTATGAGCAGTGTTCCCGTTTAGAAAATTTAAATTTTCAAGTGAGCATGAATATTTTAAGGGTGAGTTAGCAGAGTTCTAAATGATGCACAAACTTTGTGAAATACTGTGGCATTGTAAAGGATCGGCTAAAAATAGCCGTTCCAGATGATTCCGAAGAAATCAAGGTACAGTACGTTGACGTAACATAACAGTGCAACCAAAATACACGAGAAACATGAAACGGGTATTTCAGCTAGGCGTGAGAAAATATGACGAAACACACTTTGAAAACGTAATGTTGCAAGCGCGCGAGATTGAGATTTTAGTGCGCAAATGGCGCAGTTGCGCATTTTAGAGGGAACCTTGACTATGAGGTACTGAATTCCACACAACTGAAATTCTTGTGAAAACAAGTTTGCCGCATTTCCTTTAATCGCTTGTTTACTGGAATAAATTTACCCTTATTTTCTTTCCACAGGAGCCACCGTTTGTTTTCATAGACGAGACACCGACAGGAGAATTCATCTACAGTGGTTTTTCTATCGACCTACTGCAGGCATTAGCGAAGAAAAATAATTTCGAATATGAATTATACAGGGTGAAAGACAACAAATACGGGATTCAAAAGTCTGACGGGTCGTGGAACGGTTTAATCGGTGACGTCGTTAGAGGGGTACGTGCATTTTTATTGTGTTTCCTCTCATAGTTTTACATTTCTTTCAGGGCGAAAGGAAGCCCAAGCCAATGATGACGGCTTAGATATTCGTTTTTGGGCGCTCCAGAAGTATGTGTACCGATATGGAGGTAACTAATTTTGTTCACCTACTTTACATCAAGTTGTGTAAAGGGACTGAAACCTATGGGCAGGGGGTATATTCACTTGGCTAGCACAGACTGTCCCCGAACTCCTAATAGAAATGGAAAAAATGGAAAATTGAAAAAAAATTATGGCCTAACCCTAACCCGGTACACAGACTACGGGAGTACCCTTTTTTATGGCTATGGGTATACAGGGTGTCCAAAATATTTCGCCCGATTTTATGGTAATAACAATTAAAATTTTATTAATAATTCTCATTAATAAATTATATTGATAAATTATTAGTTCTTATTGTGCTTGTAGTTCCTATTTATCATACAATAAAATTTATCCAAACTTACAATTGTTATACTTATTACTATAAAATCGGGCAAAATTTTTACTTTAGACTCCCTATATATACATTGTGCTCACCCTGTCGCTAGATTAGGATAGAAATTTTATAATTTATTAAATTTATTCTAGGGCACTGGTTCTCAACCAGTGGGCCATGGCCCTCTGCTGGGCCATAAAGACATTTTCAAGCGGGCCACAAGCCTATTAAAAAATACTACGGTTATTGAGAAAGTTAGTTTCATTTGTGTCATTATCGTCAAACTTTTATTGTAGTAGCAATGAATGATGCTTCTGCTTTTCATTCTAAATATAAAAGTGAAAGTATTTATTTTGGCAAAAATAGTCTTGTTTTTCTTTTTTTGGATGAGAAAGTTAGTGGGCCACAGAAGTTTCATGCAACGAAAGTGGGCCATGAAGGAAAAAAGATTGAGAACCACTGTTCTAAAGGAAAAAAGTTTCCCCCTAAAGTTTTATATTTTCTCGAGGGAAAAGGAAAACCAAGACAAATAAAACGACGGTCTTCCTGTACGGAGTAGGCCGTTTTAATGGTTATCGGGCCATATATTCATTACTATACCTAACTATATCTATGCGACTGCCCATATCTATAATACCGGTTCCCAACCAGCGGGCCATGGCCCTTTTGTAGTTCACAGAAACATTTTCTAGTAGGCCACAAACCTATCGAAAATTGCTGGAACAATTGATAAATTAGTTAAACTTTGATTATAGTAGCAATGAATGATGATGCTGTTTTTGTTACTGAGTGGTAATTCGCATTTTTATTATAAAATTTGCATTTGAATTTTAGTTATAAAAGTGGAGATAAATATCTTTACGAAAAGCATTTGTTTTTGTTTTTCCTGTAGTTTTTTCTTTGCATGGGTAAGTTAATGGGCCACGGCATTTTTTGTGCAACAAAAGTGAGGCACGAAAAAAAGAAAGGATAGGTCTATACCTCATATGGCTGCCGAGGCCCATACGGAGGAAGGATCCAAATTTCTATTATGACCAAATACCCATCCTTATTCATAACCTATCGCATATATGATGATTGCCTAATAGCGCTCAACAAACAGGCCATTCAAATGGTAATTGGACTGCATATCTATACATATTATGATTCACTATCTATACGGGGCTATATAACCGACACGGGAAAACTACTAACCTCAGGCCAAATCTGACCCGTTGAGTAATTTAATCCGGCCCGCCCGATGCTGCCGCAGCCAAACTAAAACCAAATTTTGATTTTTCAGCTAAAAAATAGCTCAAGTCATTTACTGAGATCGCGATTAAATTTAGTTTTGGCACGAGGATTATTGTTTTCCGCATTTGCTTATATAGGACTGCAAATATTGCTCACAAAATGTACTTTTCACGTCACACTTATACGGCCCGTCAGTTAAGATGGGCAAATTTTTTGTCAACTGGTCAATAAACCTTGCGCATCCCCGCTATAAATCCATCTCTGCTCCTAACACCTATTACACTGACTTATTCTATATCGCAGGAAGCCGATCTCGCCATTGCAGCAATGACCATCACAGCACAACGAGAGAAAGTCGTAGACTTCACGAAACGATACATGGATTATTCTGTTGGTATCGTGATGAAAAAACCTCGGGAATCTTCAAGCCTTTTCTCATTTGTTTATCCTTTTCATACAAGCGTTTGGTGAGTCGTCTCAACCGTATGATCGAGGGTCCTGGCCTAGGAGGCGTCACTTTATAGTTTTGCCTTCTAGACATCGCCAATTGTTACGTCATTATAACAGTTCAAGCATGTGTATATTTGTAACAATTCAATTATCATCCTAATTATAGGTACCGGTATCGGCCCCCTGTGCGCACTGCTCCCTTTTCGCATCCGTTCAGACACTTTTCTCACTCAGACAGATTTTCAAGCGTGGTCGTAAACATTACCTCATTTTTGCGTTTTTGAACTATATTCGTTAGTTTTCAGTTCTGTTACGGAAATTTAAATATAAATCAGATAATTCAATAATCACTCTGTCTTCCTAGGAGTTCCAATTTTATTGCAGTAACAAAAAATTAATGCAGAAATAGCTGTGATAGACCAGGCTAAAATTCTTTGCCGATACTTTTAAAAAACAGATTGTTGTATGCGATGAATCATAATGATGGTTCGAAGCAAATACCCCATTTCACAGGCGCCAACTCGCGAAACCACTTCTAAAATAAGATCCAGAAAAAGAAAAGAAGAATTTTTCGGGGGTCAAAAGTCGGGGAAAGGTCCATAGTGCCTGGGCTTACAAATATACCTGTTAGAGCAGGATTTCAAATATGATTCGCTTGATTATTGTCTCCCTTATGACAATTCATTCACAATTTACTTAGTTTATGACTTCAATAACACAAACCTATACATGACATGGACATAGATAGGTACGTACATAACCTGAACAAGACAACACAACACACACAACAATTAGATAGTCGACAAGTATACCCAAGCCCAAACGGACGTATACTCACAACGAGAGATCAATCCCCAAATATGGGGACACGAAAGCCAAAACGAAGTAGTACGAGTGTGGAAAATTTACAGTACCTGTACCGTAAATCCCCTGGTCCAGCAGTTCTCAGTCCAATGTTTAAACAAAAATCGGGTTTTTCACAATAATAGAAAACACTAACAACAACAACATCAACATAAAAACGATATTTCGGTCGATCGCCGCCCAACGACTATAACCAGTGATTACAATTAAATGAACAGTTAATTTATAGAGCAGAGCATACCTTTGGACTAAAATAACTAAACATAACTGTCTTTATTTTAATTTCAGGTTTTGCATTCTTTCATCTCTGATTCTCGTCAGCGTTGTTATATTTGTTCTCACCCGTGTAAGTTGAAATTTTCTTTATCTGTGTTGTAACCATCAAACTCCCAAACTTCGATTGTTTACACTGTATAGGCTATTTGCACAATAACACATGACATTCGGGTAAATCCTTTTCATATTCCACTTGGATTTACTGTCTGTTGTTGCGGTGATAATATAAGTCATTTATTCTCCTCGTTGGCCACTCTTACATAGGCATACCCACACCTCCATGTGACATTCGGTAACCATTTTAATATTTCATATGATATTCGGTACCATTTTTTTAACATTTAACTTGAATTTTGCTGTGACGATAGTAGTCATTTAATCTCTTTGACCATATATCTCTTATAATTCTTTTATAAATCTTTTAGGTTAGTCCACTCCGACCACCACCGGAGCCTCGTGACGATGACGACACGAAAATAACTGTTGTAAACTGTTTCTGGTTTGCCTACAGTTCTCTAATGCAGCAAGGTATTTGGTTGTATTATAATCACTAATTGTGTGTGGTCTGGCTTTCATTCTTCTTTCAATTCTTTCACTTTTTAACTCTCCACCATTCTTTTCCCTGTTTCATTTCTCTCTCTGTTTTGTGTATTTCCTCTCATGCTTCACTCTCGATTAATTCGACTCTCTCGCACCTCTCTTTCTCTTCTTTCATCCTACTCGAGTTTTTCTCTTCAATCTCTTCCCTTCCCATTCTTTTTTTCTCTTATGTGTTTCCTCTCGCGATTCTCTCTCGTTTATTCTAATCTCTAAATCTCTCATTTATTCTCACTCTCCCCTAAACTCCAACTATTGTCTCGCGCTTTTCTCGTTTTCAATTGTTTGTTCTCTCTCGTATACACTGCAATTAACAACTCATATTCTCTCCTTTTAGGTTCCGAGTTACACACCATAACATGGCCTATCCGTGTAGTTACGGGGTTTTGGTGGTTCTTTGCATTGATAGTGGTGTCATCATACACTGCAAACCTGGCTGCGTTCCTCACTGTAACAAGGATGGAGACTCCGATTAGAAACTTCGACGATCTTGCCAACCAAAAACAAGTGGATTATGGAACTGTTGTCGACACAAGTATTTTTGATCACATTATGGTAAGTTTGTGAGCGCAAGAAATAACCCAGTGGTTTCCGACCTTTTATGGCTTGTGGCCCCCTTCCGGAGACTTTTAGCACTCGTGGCCCGGGTTTGTCATTCCAGTGGCATTTATAGTGTTATTTTGATAGGTAGATTCCAAATTCCGTTATGTTCAGACAATTCATAACTAACAAAGTGAAAAAACCTTGTAAAATAACCGTATCACGCAATGTAACTATGAAGAACGGATGGTGTTCTTGTAATGGTCGAATGTAAAATCAGTTTTTCGCCGAGCTTTGATGCTCGGTCGGGAACCGCTAATCTTATGGTTAGAGCAGTGTTTCCATCCCAGAGAGAAAATTTAACTTTGTATTTGTTTGTAGTACGACTAATGTCATTCACGCATTAGATTTATTGTAATGCGTATTCATGTGCGCATGATAAACTATTCAAATTGTACAAATCCCGGAGTGTGAGTTGTGCGTATCACTAGCTAATGAAGATGGAGCATATTTTAATGGCAGATATAATATTATCAAATTTTGTGATAAATATCAAGATATCTACTCATGATTACAACTGTGGACGTAACTATATTTGACGCTGTAGTTAATAAAAATAGTCGATTTTTACACCTGCGGCTGCCAGTACGGGACCATTTTCGAAGCGCGTATTTATTCGTTATTATTTATTTGTAATTCAATAGTCCTGTTGTACAATACCCCGAATGTATTCGTTGTGAAGTGTTTGTCTGAGGAAGTCAGATGATTCTGGTCAGACGAAACGTTACAGAAATATATTTTTGTTAGTGTGCAGCAGGAATCTTGAATTTAACAGTATGGCCCTCTTTATTACTGCTACAGCATCCTTGCATTATACGTATACGGGTCCACTAACGCAAAGGCATTTAGAAAGGATTGGGAGTTCGTCTCGCCTAACTATCAACTGATAGTTATTTATTTGTGTTTGTTTTTCATATTGACCTCATGGTGCGATAAATGAACTAGCTCAACTCTCTTTTTAGACCAAAGGAGAGAAAGCATTAGACGAGCAATCGGTGTATAAGAAAATGTCGAAAGCAATAAACGCAACAACAAATCGAATAACTGAAGCCAAAATTGGATTCAAGAAAGCAGAAACTGGAAAATTCGCTTTTCTGTGGGACGTTGCTGTGATTCGTAAGTTTGAAAATTTCACCCATAATACAGGATGGGCGCTAGAAAAGCAGAAAATTTGAATGTCAGATGAGAGAACGAATATAATGCGTATAGGTATAGGTTAAATTGGAACGATATACAACGAGTCAACCTTAAAATCGCTACACGAGCTTTGAATTCTAGGTTAGGACACTGCTCTGAAATAAATTTCAATTTTTTTTCCTTTTAAGAGTATGAAATCCTGAATCATAAATCCTGTTCTCTCACAACGGTTCCAGACAGTATTTACGATAAAGGATACGGAATAGCGTTGGAGCATGGAAGCCCGTTCCGAGATCTTTTAAGTTTGGGGTAAGACGATAAAATGACGATTTTAATTATTTAGAAAATAGTATTATCGATAAAAAGGCTCATTTTATCCGTGTGATCTCACATGTTTGCGAGCTTGTAGGTCAGTATTATGTGATTATTTGACTAGTAATACCAGATGTATTCCAATGAATATTCTGTTTTAGTTCCTTTGAATAAGTCTGGACGATAAATTTGCGTGTTTAATCACGATACACGATCGTGAACTCTCTTATTCTCTTTTCGTTTATTTTTGTTAGATTGTAGTTCACTTCCAGACAGAAGGTATATGTTTTTCATTGCGTTTAAAGACATGTTTTTCATGGTGTTTACCCCATGGTCGCCACCTCACTCATGATCTTATAAATTAGGCAGCAATGCTGACCGAATTTTTTGCATGGTTTTGTGGCCACTAAAGTTTTTTGAGGTTGGCCTGAACATAACTCCGTATTGGTCATTTTCCGGAAAGAACAAGGAAGTCAATGAGTTCAAGGGTTCAAGACGTCTAAATCTTTACAACATCATTAACTTTCTGCTGATTGGTTATTGTTCCAAAAAAAAACAGGAAATGTTGCTCGCGTGAAAATTCATTATTTCATTCATCATTATAATTATTTTCTATTTTAGAATCTTAGACCTTCAAGAATCAGGAGAAATCACCAAACTCACCGCGAAATGGTGGCCAAAGACTGGAACATGCACACTTGGTCCATCGGATGCATCGAGTAGAGGAACTGAGCTAACTTTGGAGGTATTTTGAACTTTCAACTTTGCCCTTTTGATGCGGGAATGCGCCTACTCAAATAAAATAAAACGTTGCTGATGTGAAATAGAGAAATTGACAATTACCTGATTCTCTCGAATTCACAAATTATCCGATCTCTCGAATTTACCAATTATCTGATTCTGTCGAGTTTGACAGTTATCCGATTCTCTCGAATTTACCAATTATCTGATTCTCTCGAGTTTGACAATTATCCGTTTTTCCCGAATTTAACAATTATCCGATTCTCTCAAATTTGACAATAATCCGATTCTCTCAAATTTAACAATTATCCGATTCTCTCGAATTTGACAGTTATCTGATTCTCTCGAATTTGAAAATTATCCTATTCTCTCAAATTCGACAATTATCTGATTCTCTAGAATTTAACAACAATCTGATTCTCTCGAATTTAACAATTATCTGATTCTCTCTAATTCAACAATTATTCTATTCTCTCAAACTTGAGATTTCCAGTCCCGATTCTCTCATTTCTCCGTTTCTCTCTAATTCGAACATTCTCTCGAATTTGATTCTTTTCAAATTTAAAGTTGATCGGGATCAACTTCTATGTCCATCGCCTCACCAAGATGTTCGCGTTTGTACCAATGCTTTCTTGCTTAGAGCTATTTTTGGGTGACGGTGTTGGGACCATAGACGTTTCTTACGGTTATCAGTTCAAGGGTAATGTGAGAATTGCTAACCAGTTAATTGGCATGCTCTCAATTGATTTTTTCTCCGTGTTTCAGAATTTTGCTGGCGTGTTCTACGTTCTAGCAGCTGGATTATTTATTGCCTGTACTGTAGCTGGAATGGAAATCATATTTCATATCAAGAAAGGAAAACCTTACCCGCCAGTAAGGGATGGAAAAGCATCGACTGATGGAATGGTGAGAGTAAAATTAGAAAAATGCTTCTTTGTTTATTTGCCCTTTTTTGTGTTTAATTTATGTAATATCCAATTTCCTAGGAATTTCTCCCTAGCTGTTTCAAGCGAAAGCTAGAACACCAGCATAAAACAGATATCGTATCTGAAAAAGTATTAACCCCTCGTCATATGGTTGTGCTTGACGGTGCTATTCTACAAAATAAGTTTTTTATGCCATTACAATCACACGATTTGAATCAAGAAGGCATTTGGTGTTGAAAGGTTACACCAGTGGTTCCCAAACTGTTGGCAATTTTGGGGAATAATCCAGAAGTTTAGTGTTCTAACAACTTCATTCGTAATCCCTGTTGTTTCGACTAGTCTACGAAAAGATAAATATTCAATGCTCGCGTCTAGTCAATGAGCCTATAGTCGCCTAGTCACGCACTTCGTAGAGACATAATAACAATACTTCGCCGTACAAATTGCAAGCTAAAATGCTGGGCTAGTTGGATCCGAAGATGCAATAAGTGATATCATTATCGGCATTTTTGGTCAAAGAAAAATTGAAGCGATATACTGTATTTTTATGAAAGGGGTAATAGAGCCTTTTTCGATTCGATTTAGGGGTAGCAATGTTAAGAAGTTTGGGAACCACTGGGTTACACAATAACTCCAAATTGTTTGCGACTAGCAATACCCGCCATCACAGCCAAATTAAACTGCTCTTTAAATTACTATGTCACTTTGACTAATGTCTCGAAGAGACACAACGGAATTTTCCTAAGTTAAATTAATCCAGATATCAATCAGACAAAGCGACAGACAAATAATAAAAGATGAATATAAGCAAGCACATTACAAAGGATGAATATACAAGTTTGCTTACTTTGAAATGAGACTCCGATAATTCGAACCCAATAACTACCAATAACAAGAACCAATCAGGAAACCAACCAGTTTGTAACATGTAAATGTTCTCTAAGTAAACACGCGTGAACTAAATAGTCCCAAGGTAGATCAGTAAAATGTTTAAACCGCCAATCTTACTCGATCCCTGCACATCAGCGGCACCTTTTCCTCTCTTAGATAGAAGTACGGACGCTCCAGAAGTGTGTGTACCAATAATATGAAGGTAACTAATTCTGTTCGCCTACTATACATCAAGTTAGGTGATGGGACTAAAATCTTTGGGCAGGGGGTATATTCACTTGGCTAACACATACAGTCGCCGAACTCGTATTAGAACAAATTAAAGGAAATCGCAATAAAATTATTGTCTAACCCTAACCTGGTACACACATCACGGGGGTATCGAAGAACGTATACAACAACTGAAAATGAGATTTTATTTTATTTTTCAGGTCAAAGAGCAATTACCTCGGGTACCCAGCGTAGAATCACAGTCACGTGCAAATGAGGAGGATATTTTAGTTGTTTTGAAGAAAAAGGATGTTATGCGCTATCTAGCGGAAAGCGAGATTCATAAAAGGTTTGTTTATTGATATTACTAATTTATTCACAGTTCTTTGAATGGTGTATATTTTCGTAAAATCAAGATACGTTCTACATTTAATATTATTTTTTGTTAAATTAATGTTTTTTATTATTAGTAGTTGTCAAAAGGTTTGCGTCTTTTATTTTATAGTATTTTATAGAAACAACAGTTATCCACGCGCTGTACTTGAGTGGGAAAACGCGTTGTGGGAAAAACTGTGAAAATGCTCGTTACAGGTTTTGACCTGATCATTTTGGCGTTCAAGAAAGAGAAATTTATTTCGTCAACCAGAAAAAAACAGTCATAACAATAAAAATAGGCTACAAGAAACACTTTTTTTGGTATAGACTGGGGGGGGGGGGGGCAATACGACCCATGTAGTCAGCGCCCTCAAGTTGAAGAATATTTTTTGTTCTCAGATCCAGTGCTGTCTCAGAGAACAACATTCCGCGCGCTACACAGGGATCTTTACCTGAAGAAAATCATCGAGGGATAAATAGCAGAAATGAGAGTTCGGTGATGGGGGCCCTGTGCTGCCACAAAGCGGATGTTTCGCAACAGAAAAAATCACCACTAGATGATGAAAGAGCTGTACTAAGTAGGTAAACGGAACATGGTACTGTGTTCTTTGTCGTTTTCTTCACTTTCATGAAAGTGAAATTGGTTAGTCCTCCTCCAAGTATAACTTCCGAGGGCAGCGGTTAGCAAACTTCATAATCCGTGTCCCTAAACACCATAAATATTTGTGCTTATACTTTTGAACAATCTTAGACACTGCCCACTCAATTTATTATGGCCTGGGTGAGTTGGTGTGCATTGGATGCCAATACCAACATAGTTAAGCCTGTCTCTTAAACACTAGATCGGGATTTGCTTACATGATTTGTTACATTCTGGTTGGGGTGATGGCAATGGGATTTGAACCCGACTATTATTCCAATCTACGACGTGAACAAAAATAAGTCTCACACCTTAGCCATGGCATGAGCAAACTACGATCCGCGGGCCAAATCTGGCCCTCTGGGTAATTCAATCTGGCCCGCCTGATGCTGCCACAACCAAACTAAACCAAATTTGTATGTTTTGCTAAGAAATAGCTCAAGGAGATTGTTAAGATTCCGATTAAATGATTCTGGCATGAGGCTTATTGTTGTCCACCTTTGCATTTGTAACACCGTAAATATTGTTCCTAAAATATAACTTCTTACACACACTTACATGGTTACAGTTTAGGAGGGAAAAATTGTTGCCACTGTTTTAAAACCATGCCCACCCGTGCCTTCACCGTTAATCCAATCGACCACATAACTGTTCCTTTGTTGTTGTTTCAGCCACCAATTACAGAGAGTTCACTCAGAACGGCAGTCAGTCCGACATAATACCGACATCCCAACAACTCCCGACAAAGGCCAGACTGGTACATTGGTGAAGAGTCAGGATTACAAAAGACTTACAATGCAGCCATCTATGGAGACTTCTTTATTACGTAACAGACATTCTAATTATGGAATTGTTAAACAATCAATGCCGGATCTTACGTCACAATACTTTACAAACACCACGTTATTTCCTCAAAGACCGTTTCCCGCGCAAAATTTACCACGTCACAATGGATCTATGATTGCCTTAGCAACAAATCCTTCTCAAAATTTCCCGCCAATTCAATGTTCAAATTTGACCTTACCCGGAAATCGACCAGCCGCTCCGTTCTCGGCAGTCGCTTTGAAAAGAAGATTGTTACTTCACAAAGCAGCAACCGAATCTATTGTAACGTCACCAACTTCGTCAATGGGCGGAGCTATTTCCGACGATCACCTAGCTTCTGATGACGTAAAACTCGGATATGCTATGACGTCATATGGATCTAAAACGCTCCCACATTGCCGCCCAGAAACCAGTTTCGGCAGAGCTTCGGAATTGTCTGAAAGAAATTACAATACTATGACATCACCTCGTCCGAATATGACATCACAAACAATGGAAATGACGCTACAAAGACCGTCTGTGACATCACAAAGAAATCATCCAAAATGCAGACGACAGCATAGCATAGGACCAGGCGTATTATATTCAAGTTCATCTCAAGATAGAACAACGACTGACGCCGAAGACGGGCTCGATATAGCGACGTCCCCCCATTCAGTCGTTTTCAATCACAAGAAACAACCAATTCCCGGAAACTCGAGAATTTTTCATAAAAATAGCTGCGTCTGATTTAAATACTTTTTATGTTATTTCGTGGAGTCGATTTTCATTATTACAAGTCTAGTGAGAATATATTTGTCTGTGTGTGATTTGATTTTCTGGGCATGGCGGCATCATACTGTTCAGGGTTATATATATCTCGACTGTAATATCTGTATCTGAAATGTCGAAACACTGAAATGGTCCACACTGGCGAGATGGAATAGGTGTCGGAGCGTTGAACCCGAATATCATTTCCGCAGGTTCAAGATTTCGTGTTCGAAATGTACTCTCAACGCCGTTCCCACGTTGAATAAAATGTGTAGGCAATATCGATAAGAAAATATTCCTGTCGTTTTAAAAAGAATCCACTTCTAACGGAGCAGCGAAAAATTGCACTGAAATTTGACAACCACTTCGATATGCGATCTTAGAAGCGTAGACAGGAATCTTCAAGGGAGGGGGGGGGGGTCAGAAATTTCTAATTGCCAAGTTAGACTGTAGAGTTTGCGGGTCTGGAAAACGTTGAGTTTTAAGAGTCTTGGGAATATATAAAGCGTTGCAAGCTACAAATAATTCTATGTTTAAATTTCAAAAAGAGGGGGAGGGGGGTGCGGCTCTCAAAACTCTCCTTGGCTATCTCACCAGTGGCGTAGCATCCACCCCCGCAACCCCCGCGGTCGCGGGAGGGCCCACAGCGCAAAGGTGCCCAAGCGGTTAGAATTTAGAAATTTAAGCCGCAAAACCAAAAGCTGCATCGCAAAACCAGTAATGCACATCTTATAACGTTGTTGTTGGTTCTGCTCAAATCGTGTTATTATGTAACAATGCCAGGCAGTCGTCAATTTTCGGCGTCTTGTGGTTTGATCGCACCGCCAAAATTACGAAGGCTGTCAGAATGATGTCGAAAGCAAAACCTCTCAGTGGCGCACAGAAACACAGAAAACGGGCAGAAGAGGAAGCACGTATAAAAATAATTAAAGTAACCAAGATAAACAGCAAATTTTAGGTTACCATTGCCTTTTAATAGCGACATGTTATGCTTTTTGACGAAATAAAAAAAAACGTCGTTTTAGCTTATGTCCGAGAGTTTTCAGGGTCATTTCCACGAGAGACTTGCTACGCCACTGTATCTCACTTGCCTAAAGTTATCTCAATCGCATACCAAAGTGGCGTCAATAATGGTTCCACCTTGGTATTCGTTTAATCTAATAAGACATTCTCATAGATTTCAGTTCTTAACCCGAACTAAAACCGTTGGGGTCACACAATTTCCGAAATCGCATTACAAAGTAGTACCGAGATTTTCGGAGTAAAGTTGCGACAATATCCCGTAAAAGGGATAAAAAGGGGCCAATACAAACTGTTACAAGCCAAAATTTAGAATTATATTTGTCTAAAGAAGTCAACAGTTCCACATTTGAAAAGTTTTTGTTAGTGTGTCGCAAGTAGGGCTGGGCATATCGAATAGTAAATTATTCGAATCGGTTCATACGTAGGCTTACCATACGTCCCGCTTTAGGCGGGACAGTCGCGCTTTTCAGCGTTTTGACTCGCCGTCCCGATAAGTCAGCCAAAAGTCCCGCTTTTCCAGCATAAAAAAAAACATGTTCTCGTTACTGTTGTTTCTGTGTAGCGCAGCGCTAGCCTACTTACTGAAGGTGAATGCGTCCGTTTCCCGCTGATTCCCATTAATGACAGACGTATCGCATGCAAAACCAATACTAATTAGTCTAAATTTGAATTATTTGTACCGGTATCGTTAACGTCAATTCCTTCCTATTTTTCGAACTGAACCCGATATTTGGACAGAGAATATGCGCATGAAATTTCGATAACAATATGGTCAATAAACACAGCCGAGACAGCTTTAAATGTAGGAATGTAGGCCTATGTAGTAAAATCGGAAAATGTGAAGTTATAAAATCACAGCTAAGGGGTCTTTCGAGTCGTCCCGATTTGAAGTCACAAAAATATTACCCCTATTCATACGGGATTGCCAAATTGCCGTCATTTTTTTTTGTTCGTCGGCAGGTCGAGATGAATCCCATAACCCCCTTGTTAATCATGTCAAATTTTTATAATGCGATTAATTCTAACATATGACTTTTTTCTTCCGAGTGGGTTATCGATGAAACATGTTTCTTACTAAGTGGGTCATTCAGCGAATTGTCTCAGTGATAGATTACGTGTTTTCACTAATTTATGTGTCTGAAGGGCCCATTACAATACGGCAGTAAACCAAACTTTCTTCTGATTGGTCGACGAGGCAAACCCGTAGCAACGTTTCCGCGCTTAACTGGTAACTTGCTTTGGCGACTTTTTTTTGATAGTCTTTGTGTGTTAGACAATCAGTACAACTACATATCTTTCAGGGAATTCGAGATTCGATTCGAAAAAATATTCTATTCGATTCCGAAGTCATCATATATTAGAAAATACCCAGCCATGGTCGCACGACACCTGCATCGATTAGAATATTATTATATTAAACAACGGGAAATAGGTTATTAATAACCCTGCTTAAATTTAAATACTGCTCACAAATACGCGCGAATAATCAATTACGGCATAATCGTCAGAACAAAAAACGATGGTGTGAATTGTTTACGTAACACACGATTATAGGAACAGGGGTAATTACTTGCATAATCGGCCATAGTGGCGAAACAATAGATTGTAACATTTAAAATAACTTTTGTAATTCAGTCAAAACAAAGCATTACAATCTTACAGATGCGTATTATTTGATCACAATGTGAAATAGTATTATCTTGACAGGATTTCCCGCCATAATTATGAATCCGTATAATAGTCATATTATGCTCCCGCGAAAACTCAGCAGAGCTTGCAAAATTTAGCAAAACTTGGACCGTAACAGCTAGCGGTTTCGACCCGCACCTCCACATGATGTTTTAAAATTGGGTACTCATGTAGTATGTGAACCAAGATGCCGGACACCGGTACGTAGTATGTGTACCCGATTAGGGTTAGGCCATAATTTCAGGTACAAATACTACGGGAGTCACTTGGCTATTCCCTAACTCGTAATATAAATAAAATAAGCAAAATTAGACGAAAATAATGGCCTAACCCTAATCTGTAGTAGTTGTAGTTTAATTGCATACCAAAGTCAGCAATGCGACAAAAACGCTGTGATTAATAAATTGTGCGGTGATAAGCAACCTTATTCATCACATTAATGTAGTTTGTGTCCTTGTGTTGTAAATGAAACATTATCTTACTCGTTGGTTAGTAGGGCTGGGCATTTCGAATCGAATATTCGAATCGAATAGTAAACCATTCGAATCGATTCAGACGGGAATTTCGAATCCCCGCCATCTTGTTTTTATCTTTCCGCTAATGGTCGAGGTGAATTCCCCAATTTTTTTTTCATTGGAGTCATATTTTTTCAACGAAATTCTAACATATGACTATTTTCTGTAAAGAGTTATTGATAAAACGTGTTTGTTATTCTGTGTGAACGCCCAGTAATCTATCTGAGTGATTTATCCTATGTCTTCAGTAATTCATTTGTTGAGAGGATCAATTACTATAATAAAGTCGCTTACAATTTTATATTTTCAAGTATTCGAGATTCGATTCGATTCGAAAAAATTATTCGATTCGATTCTGAAATCACAAGGTATTCGAAAATGCCCAGCCCTATTGGTTAGGGACAGAAATTAATGGGGCATAGATTGGGATCCGTCAAAACTGAGATTCACAAATACGGGTCCGCGAACCAAAAACTTTGGGAAACTCTAGCATAGCGAAGTAGTTTTAAGGTTTGGGATTGCATACCAAAGTGACACCAAACCTATTAAGTCAACAATGCAATAAAAATGCTGTGATTTTTCTTGGGAGTTTTAAACTCTCGACATATTCTTGTCGAATCATGCCTTCCTTTTTTATAATCAAGTATCGTATGAACCATCTAGACAAATTCAACAAGGAAGGTATATTCTGTACTAGGTGTACTTCTAAGAAATTTTCCTTTGTTGGTTTTGATAGAGATTCCCCAAATGAAATTGTCAAAAACGGAAATGCACAATAATATTCCAGGAATGTCTCCAGGAAATATTAAACTCGGAACACTTTGAAAAGTGCAGTAAGTCTAAACCAGGGGTGTGCAACATTTTTTTTCATTGGTGGACCGAATAACCATGTACACAACAAACTACAGTAATAAAACCACTGGAAAAACGGCGAAATATATAACGCAACGACAAAAGCGAAAAACATTGTGCAAATTATGCCCATGGGAACGCCTTTAAAACTTATACTGTCGGATTAGGATTTTTTACTTGATGGGGGAAAATCCGAATTATGACAAGGGTTACACTGAATGGCTTGACAGATGGGGTTATGTGGCTCGCATCCCTGGTCTGAACAATGCATACGTGACATATATACATAATAATACCAGTTAAATTAACCCAATTTTGCTATTAATTTAGCAACCGAATAAGATTCAGCAAGGAAGCAAGCTACTTATAACTACAAATATCCCACTTATAAGGCGCTGAATGATTACGTCCGGTTAATGCATATTTCAAAGTGTTTATATTTCCCAAACGCGATTCTTTGCGGCATTTTTAGGTTATTAATTATTATTTATTACATCCCATTTACATACACCGACGCGGTGACTAAGCCGCACTATAAATACTCCATTAAATTGGATTGTTATTGTTACGTTACCCACGCATTGTGATTAAATAATAATCATCCTTTGTGTTGTCATAAGACGCTATTTTGCAAAGGTATTTCCCTCTGATATAGGATGTTGCAAATTAGCTATAACTCGTGACCCGAGTGTGACAGTGAAATTATATCCGCGTTTGATTTTTGATTTTGATTTGAGTAGACTAATTACGGAGAAATAGTGTTGTACCATACATAGTAATTTTTAGTAGCGTGTCGAAACTCCCACTTTAGAAATATGAAAAAAAGCATTTTTCTGTATCATACACGGTAAATTTTCGTAACTTTAAACGCTTTTTTTTAAACGCTAGCAATAAGAAATTCAAAACCCCAGTTCTTTTTAAAAAACTTTGTCTTCGCCCCTTGTTGGCAGACGTAACTGGGGTTACCAACTATGAAAAGTTTCAATAAAGGACATAGATTACCGTCATCATTTATTTTGTAACTTGCAGGAAAGAACAATATAAAACAATGAAATAAAAATTATATACAAGCTAAAAAGCTACATTAAAACAATCTTCATGTGTTTTTCATTTGATGTTTATTTAACTTTGACTCGAGCAATGTTAATAAAATTGGCTAATTGAGTCGGACCATAGCAAAACTAAAATAAGAATTATAGGCTTGCAAATACATAAACGGAGGCGATTTTTTTAGGAACCTAACAATATCAAATACAGTACTATAACTATCGGGCAAAACGACGTTGGAAAGAATAGAAGACAATTAGCATATTTTTTAAATTAAATGCTAAAAAGGAGAAGGACCGAAAAGCTTAATTAAAGGATTGTCCTTTGAAATAAAGGACGGTTGGCAACCCTAGACGTAACTCACCCCCGTATCGTGGTATATTTTGCATGGAAATCAGCTCAACTTGTTGCTTATACAATGCGTTGTTTATTGCGAAGGGGTGAGAACACATCAAAGAGCAGCTTGGTAAATTTGATAGTTTTCTGTGTGACTTATAGCGAGCGACTAATCAAGTACATGCATGTCGCATTCAGCACAAAGCATCATAGCTTTAAATTCGTAAAATTTATTTTATCACTTACAATTCAACAATGAATAGTTGAGTGATTCAGATTAATAATGCGAAAGCAATTAAAACGGTCTTTTTTACATAATTTGAGGGAAAAATTCACATATTTCTGAAATTCAGGTTCCAATCAGACATAAACCACCGCAATGTTCTTTGCGATTTATCGCCTTACCTCTCCTCCTTGATGGATAGGAAAAACAATCTTCTGGTGAAAATTTATTACCTTAGCGTGCCACCCGGTTTGGATTTAGGTGCAAAGAAGGCGATAAGTTTTTATCGTGTAAAATTTTAATGAATTAATTTCAAATTGGAAAACTTGTATCTTTACTTGAATATTAATAATAACGTAGAAACATCTCAATTTAACAACTGTCGTTAAAAATCGTCAGTCAACGATCAAGGAGGCGCATTTTTTTTATCTTAGATAGATTGTTTATTTCGAAAACTCCATTATACACACAAATTAAAAATAGAGAATTCTGGAGAGCGGGCAAAACCTTTAAAAAGATTTAATTATCTTCGCCATGGATGCTATTTTACGCAAATAAGCCATTACTTTCTATTTTGATACGGTAGCGCTGCCTTCAACCAGTTAATATAACACACCGTAAGGCGTTTGTTATAGATTGAAAATTAAAAAAATAACATCTTAGTTACAAATTTGCATTTAATTTTAGTGCTTGTATATTGTTAAACTTTACCACTTAGATATGTTTTCCGTATTTATAAGCAAATTCTAATGAAACATCTATTTACCCAAATGGAATTTGAATTAGAAATACACGTATACAGTGGACAATTATTATTCTTGTATATTGAGATAATATTGCTCTATGACTTCCGCTATACGATGCTATAGGACCCAATAGCAATGCTGAGCAAATAGCATGTCAATCATCGAATCTAGCTCAATTTTGATTTCTTTTTTATTATTTTTCCGGCTTAGTGGAGCGGGAAATCACGTGTTCACGTTTCCTTTGTCTATGTTTGTTTATTATAATTCGCTTTTTTCTTCGCTCGCTCGGTCTCGATCGTATTATCGCTACAGTTCGCCTTACGTCGTAGTCGGCCTCGAGCTTTTGATCGGCTTGGTGCGTTTATAGCCTTGTTTTATCTTAAAAATATTGGAATTTAAGCATATTTAGCACATTTAATGGAAAGAAATAAGCAGTATTAATGGTAATATATTAGTTTTTATGTGGATTTCTGGAATATTTCAATTTTTGAGAATAGTTAACCAGTTGCGAGCGATATTCATCGGCAGCAAGCCTAACTGCTGGCCGCCCGCGGCTTGACGCCGAGGCCCGGCCTAACTTAGCAGCCTAGGGTCCTCGCGGTTAGCTTACATTTATTGGTAGGCTTAGCATGGTAGTTGGAATTTAATTTATTGGTATTATAACTTTATTAGCTGGAGTGTTTTAAAAGTATAACAGCTCGAAAGTTGAATAATTCGCGTATTTTTTTGTTTGTTTATTTCTGACCTAAGCATCGTTTAACTCTGGGTTTGTGTTTTTTGACAATTTTTTTTTGTGTGTGCTGGTGGGGTGACACATGATATTTCTCATGTTCTAAACTTTTGTTTGCGAGTTTTGCTTGCTCTTCAGAATTCTCCAATTTTAACTTGGGTTTATTTTGGAGTTTTCAAAATAAACTATCTATTCTGGTTGTAAGTTTAAATTATACCCCTGGAAAGGTTTGAATATAACTCTGTATGCGGTGTTGTCAGAAATGTGAAATAATTAAAAGGTAAAAAATTAGTTTGGGATTTTATTTATGGAATACTGTGATTAACAATACATTTTAATGATATTGTTACATCATATTTATGAGTATTATTTCTGTTAACCTCTTAGTTAATTATGTCTGTATGTTATGTTAGATAATCTATGTTAAATAATAATTTCAAACAAGTTGTATTTTTGCTTGCGAATTAAAAGTTTTACTAAAGTACTAGCGCACATGCATATTCTTAGTAAGGCTTATTGCAATAATGGCAGAATATTCTCAAGTGAACCCAACTGCAAGAATTCTGGCAGTTCAGGCTCAGAGTTTTATTCTTATCTAAGATTTTTATTGTTTTATGGCATGACTGTATCTATGTTTGCATATTACTATATTAGTACTGTAGTAAGGTAATTTAATGTTGAAGGCTTTCTATTGACACCACTGCCGTGGTTATGTAGTGGTGGCAGAATATTTTCAACTGAATCTAACTATAAAAATTCTGGCAATTTGAATTTTTGACCTGTCTGAAATCTTCAAATATCCATGTTTTACTTGATTATGTGTTTTGATAACATAATATGATAATTTTTTTTCAAAGGTATTGTGATGGAATTATTATGAACTGTTAAAAATTGAATGAAATAGTCTTTGGATATTTAAAATACAGACAGCATCTGGTATTTCTGTGCTGAATATTAGCAACAATCTGAGCAAAGAGGTCGGGATTTTATCACAACTACGTCCAAAATGCCGCAACTCAATAATTCTGACGACGCGGCGAATGACGAACCGACGAGGTATAATGTCGAAGAATGCGAAGATGATCCTCGTTGGAACGAAAATTTAAATGATATCAAGGGAGCTTTAGTAGATGATTTGGATAGAGACACTTCAAGGGGTGGAAATACGGTAAGAAGGGTTTTATATTGATTTATTCTTGATAAGCTGTTAAATCTTATTTTGAGCGCATGATTGCCACCAGTTATATTCATGTCGAGGATACATGAAGCACAACCAGTGTTAGCTAAACGATGTAACTTGACGATGTTTTTGGATTTCCATGCATGCTCTGAAGTTTTTGTGAATAGAAATTCGAAATGTCAGCAAATAACATCGTTTTGCTAAAACCAGTTTTCTTCATTTGTCTTTGACATTTTATGTTAAAATTAGGCAAAGTCCACTTTGGCACAATTATAGAGATTAAGAATTACTGGAGCAATAGCATTCAGAATATTGTTAGCTTTAACTATATACAGGGAAAGTGCTGCAAGGTCAAGTACTGTTGAATTTAAAGTTGGAATGAACATGATTTTTACTGAAATTGCTGCAATAGTATTGTGTTGTTAACTCAGCCCAAAATTATACTTTTAAATAGCTTATACCCCTACAGTATAATTTTTATGATCTTGGTAGCTCTTGACTGCTGATTGCCCATGGCTTCACTAGAAGAAATATCTCTTGAATTTCTGAAATCGTGTGCGTGTACTTCAAGCAAAATTACTATTGAAAAAATTATTTTGGGAGGATCTTCTTATACAGTATAATTTCAAACTGCTTAAAATCTTGTTTACAAGACTCTTGAATAATTCAGAATAACAAAAATTTAGAATATGGGCTTTCTCAGAGTTTTCACAACTCTCTGTCTCTTTAAATTTGTTAACTTTGGGTACTAACGAAAGTGTAAAGCTTAGGAAATTTTTTCACAACTGTTTATACCAGGGTTGCCAGTAATGATCCTTCTTATGCTTGTCTGTGTTACTTTAATCTGTGTGGATCATGTATTTAATTTTTCGCTTTGATGGTTCATTATGTTAATCTGGTATTCAGTGTTTAATCAATAATGTGGCATCTATGAATGTCTAAGGATTGGTTTAAATTTAAGTTGAATTGAATGATATTCGGAGACCTCCTTCGAAATTCAAGTATCTTTACACTATAATAAATTAGTTGAGCAAATTTCATATTTTGAATCGATTGGATAATTTATGTTGTTTCACACACTTAGAAATTACTTATATTTAGGAAAATTTTGCAGAACTATTACAGTATAGATCTCTTTAGATCATTTTTATGTGAGAATCTGCTCACAGCAAGGATGTGCCCACACAATAGATTATAAGGAAAAACAATCATCCCAAAGAGTTGAATTATCTACTGTATTTGCGAATTTAGCTTTAATCTAAATCTCTAGAATAGGGGCATTGTCAAATAATATAAACTTGAACATTTAATTTTTTAGAGATATTTGGTTGCAAGCACATTTTATCACCAAAGTCTATCTGGTACTTCATAACCAAGCTGCAGTCATTAGTCACAGACAAATTGTCTATCTCTATACTTGTCATATATAAAAGGTGTAAATGCTTTATTACAAGTATATTTACATAATCTTACATTCAATTATTCCCAATTAGCAGACATTCAGTTAATGTAACATTTAATACTTAACCCATAATGTACATAACAAGTCAAATTATCACATAAGGTGTCGATAAGAATCTAGACATGGTGAATTCAGAAAGGTCATGACTTATATTATTCCAAAAGCTATTAAATCAAATCTTTGTTCTTAACTCTAAGCCAGTGGTCCCCAACCTTTCCAGCACATCTCTTCCTTGGCCTATTTGCTTAATTGCACCCCCACTACAAGATGAGCCTCCTCTTTCGTTGTCAAAAACGTTTCAAAAATGTATTCAAAATAGTAAGTTATTTGCGTTCGTGTTTACTTGGAACTTTACTCAGACATGAATCTCCTTTACCTCTGAGTGAGTGCGCTTAACTTGACTTTGAGGGTGTCAGTAACCAGTAGTTCAATAGTTCACCTTGTTTAAAACACACACTGTACATACAGAAAGGAAAAACAAATAAAAAATGACATTTCAGGGTGAAAGAAGACTAGAAAATATCAAGACGTTATCAAGCAATGTAGTCATTAATAAATCCAAAAGAGTTAAACCAAGAGAGTATTCATAACACAATCTCATTTGAACCCTTGAAGCGTTTAAACATATTAATTATTAAACTATTCCACTCAGTGAAATTCAAGCAAAATACTAAAGTCAAGTGCTTGTCTTGTTGAAGTGCATTTTGCAATTTCACAAAATTACGTCAGTGCTATTTTTTTACGAGTTATAGGCAAACTGGTGATATTTAAAAGTTTTTTTTGAAATAAAATTAGGATACTTATTATGTTTTGTTATAATACCGATTTTGTTGGAATGGAAATTTATCTGAAGAATGACCATTTCTTTCTGAGGTTATCTTTAATAAGTTAATATGGTTAAGTGGTCTGTCTTCTTTGAAATGAAAAATCATTAGCGAGATGAAATTGTAAACTAATTGTGTTTTTGCTCAATTCGCTTTTGCCTGTGAGCTTGTAGCAAAATTTAGGTTGTTTTTGGAAAATTTGCCTCTTTTATAAAAAAAAAATTTTCTTAATTTTACTCATTTAACAAGATTTTTCATTTTGCCGGAGTATATGAAATTCTTATCATGTGGAGAGATGAAATTCTAAATTATCAAAGCTACACAATAACAGAAAAATATTCTAAATTATGCTTCATTTTCATAAGAATCGCCTTTTTTATGCGAAAAATCTTATTTTTTTTAAAAATTAGGATTGTCTATTTTGCACATACCATAATTTTTGCTTTTGCCTTTGTAATATTTTAACTTGTAATCATATGGATAGATAGAAATCTAGAATTTCGAAACTACACAGATACAGACACCCAAATAAATCCAATGCAGTCGATAGGAAACAATATAAAAACCACTTAGGTGTCGAATAACATTGCTAAGTTTTCAATAATTTATTCTTGTACTTGAGACCCTGAAACATGAAACCTTGTTTGTGTGTATAATCTGAAAACTGATAATTTTAGACAAAGAATCAGTCTGTGGCTAGAATTGCTTAGTCAAACTGCAGACTGATTATGTAAGGTGTTGAGCCTTCATAGTTTTTTTTCTATTGTGTAACTATAAGACTTATTGGCGCTCCAGAAGTGTGTGTACCAATATGGAGGTAGCTAATATTGTTCGCCTACTTTACATCGAGCTATGTAAAGGGACTGAAACTTATGGGCATGGGGTATATTCACTTGGTTAACACAGGCAGTCCTTGAACTCGTAATAGAACTAAAATATGGAAAATAGGAATGAAATTATGGCCTAAAACTAACCTGGTATACACGGGAGTACCGACTTATTATAGACTTTATTCTCTGTAATGACTCTGAAATATAAATTATCCATTGGATAAGTGTAATTCAAATCAAAAATGAAATCATTGGCTTCTTGTACTTTTTTCTATATTATGTTCAACAGTTGTTAGGTCCTAATTTTAGCAATATTGTGGGTTTTATTTGTTTTCAGACACTCTGTAGCTTCCAAGTTTCCGGATATTGGGTCCAAGTTCTGATATGTTTGTTTTTTTGTATCCATATTCACTTCTATGTTCAACAATTCTTAACTCTAATTTTTATCAAACTCAGCAACTTCCAATATTAAAAGCCCTGAAGGCAGAAACAGCTACCGAACGACTGTTTTCATGTTTTGCTAAACTTTACTTCAACTGTCAATAAACCACTAAGTATTTCCTTTGTAAAACGATATCTATGAAAAATGTGTGAATCAGAGAAAAAGTGAAATTGCTATTATTATTATTAAATGCCATTTCCTTGAGTCTAACAGAGATGTCCACAGTGAATTAAATGTCTAAATTGATTGATTGTATGTATTAGGTATCATTAGTTCTTGATTTTAGAGATAATTTTGAATTGCCTCACCTTTTAGGGTTAAAAACTATTTCGGTTAACTTTTGTGCAAATTGTGGCATGATAACTCCTTCATACTAATGTCGGTACTCCCGAAGTATGTGAACCAAGATGACGGACACCGGAAGGTAGTATGTGTACCAGGTTATGGTTAGGCCATAATTTCAGGCATAAATACTACTGGAGTCACTTGGCTAGTCCCCGAACTCGTAATAGAACTAAAATAAGGAAAATTGTAGGAGTAACCTAATGTCTGCTTGCACAGAGCTTTGTTTGCAGTGAAATGTGTAAAAAAAAACTTTATACATTTCTTTTTGAATGAATTTTGAACTATGTTCTTTCTCGCCAAGGAAATCTCAATTTCTTAACCAGCTCTAGGGTTTTGTTATGATAACAGGCTACAATTTCTCTTCCATGTGTGTTTCTAAACACTGCTATTGATAACACTTGAAATGTGAGCAGTGCGTATAAAAGTTCCGTCGAGAGACACTATCGGCCGTAGTTGGTACGTTATTCGAGCCTTTTCTCTAAGTGTTAGCTCTGAAAACAAAATGTCCAAACCCTTTTCTATTCATTGGTTTTACTGTGTCAATAAAATGAGCAATAAAATGAGAATTCTATTTCAAAATGGCGACAATTCCTATCGTATTGTATGGCTATCTGAAAATCAATTCTGCAATGTATATGGCTGCCTAATAGTAATAGCCCTCTTTGGAGAGATATCGGCCATTTAAATGATTGGATGGGGACCACATTATTGAGGTATCCATCGCTAAGGCTTTCGAAAACAAATAACTGGCTAACTAATTCCATACCCGACATGGACTATTAACCGGATGACGGGTCGTGGTTCGTCATATGATTAATCCGTCTAAATATGTGAACTATCCTTCACAGAGAAGGACATCCAAATTGTAAACTGGGACAATGTTTATGCATCGCTATGGGCTATGGCAGCCCGAAAAGTTCCAGCTCTATATTAATAGTATTTTATTAGTGTGAGAGTTGGATGATTGAATATTTTAATGAAATTGTGCCCAAAATTCTGTTCTTCTCAAGTTAAGAAAAGTTACGCTGGGAGATTGCCCCACTTTCCAAATTATGACAACTTGAGAGACCGGTAACAATATTAAG